TCTTGCTTCCACGTAGCTATGATATAAAAATTGGTTGCGAGGCAGCGGCTCATGCTGCTCGAATATTTCTCCAATATAATCCTTTGAATGCACATCTAATTAAAATCGAACTTTTCCAATGCCTACAATACACTATAGGAGATATTTTCTCGCCAAATTTACCAGGAGGCAAACTATTATATTTACAGTCAGCACTTCCAAGATCCTTTTTTCTTCTATAATTTGGGGACCAAATTGTATCATCAGCTGAAGGTATATCGAGATCTTGATTGTACTTAAAAATAAAAATTAACTGCTAGCTTGATCTCCAGGGCCTAGCCAGGAATTTTCACTTAGGGGGGCCAAGTGCTTACTTGAGAGGGCCACTATTTTTTTTAAATCAAACAAATAATTACGCATTCATAGAAATTTTTTCCTATTTTTATTAAAAATTTAATAACAAAATAATACTATAATATGAATATACAAAACAAAATAATACTATAATATGCATATACAAAACAAAATATTACTATAATAGAATACGGCGATTTTTATTTTTAAATTTTAATATAAATGAACTAAAAGATAAATTCTGCGTTATTCTTTTTTCATACGCCATTAATACTAAATTTTGTTTACGTTTATCCTTCATAGACTCTCTACTGCTCGATAAAACTCTCTTTAATGTAGAGAACGAGGCCTCACAAGAAGCCGTTTATCGCTGCTGAGTAGCCTATATATAATTCTTTAAATGCATGATTATATTTTTTTTATACATAATATGTAAGATATTTTCAAAATTATGATTTTCTTTAGCTTCCGAAGCTAGCAATCCTTTTGCTATCTTCATTTCATGATGCAGTGTTTCCATATTTAAGTTTAACAGGGATTTTAATGGGGCCATTTTATCTGATAAAAAATAATCAGGGTCAAGGGGGGGGCAATGTATTAAAAGATTAAAAAAGATTAAAATCATCTTCTGTAAATCGGTCTAATCAGTTTCTGAAATTTCTGATGTAGTATTACTAGTAGTTTGTAGAGGTGATGTTGCTTGACATTTGTTTAACTTTAACTTAAAATAAGAGTTAATAACTGATTGTTTCTTCATAATTTTAAAATAAACGCTGTAAAATAAAATAACTGGTTATATATTATAATATAAATGTGATACCTATAGAGAATGTTATACACAACAAAAACAAATGAAAAAAAAATGAATGAATGATAATTTAATATTGGGTAAAAATAAAAATAAAACTGGATAGAAAAAAATTTACAAACTAGACATGTTTGTAGAATAAATATTCAAAATTTATTTTAAAAATATAAAAATAATCTTCTAAATAGACATGTTATATTAAAAATATAAAAATAATCAATTCTAAAAAAAAATTTCAAATTTGGGGGGCCAGAAAAATTTTTGGGGGCCAAAGATTTTTTTCCCGTGGCTACGGCCCTGTTGATCTCCAAAGTGAATTATGGTATAGTTAGTAGATCACCTGAAGAGATCGCAAACGCGTGCTATAATAAAAATGGAAGGGGCCTCAATTAGTCTAAATCTAAACACGAACCAAGTCAAATTCCTCTCATTACAATCGGACGTGCATAATAATAGTTTTAAGAATATCATAACAGATGAACTCCCCACCTCGGTTCTCCTATCGGTGGTACGGGAGCTAACAAGCAAATTTTTAATATAACCTTATCCTTTTAAAAACTGAGGAACTCTTGCTCCTTTTCGTCTCACAAGGCTTATTTCTTAATTAAATAAAAAGTTTCTTCGACATCCACAAAAATTCTCTATGCCTTAAGATCCGCTGCTATCTTCAAATTTATCAGAGAATTCAAATCATACGAGTTAAGAATAAAAGAAATAATAGATAAGATTGCCAATCTTCGTGTTAATAACCTCTCATTTCAAGCCACACCATCCACTACCAATGGAATCTTACGTTATTGTTAGGACTTAGGAAATATATCTATAATATTAAAAGCTTACTTTTTAAAAATAATCTGTTCTTCAATTCGGTGAACTATATTAGTGTACTTTAAAAAGTTAGACTTGATAAAATATTTTGATTATTGAACGCTTTTCTTAGTATATTTTTTTAAATCGTAAAAAGGATTTAATGTTCCGTTTATAAAACGTTTTTAGCATTTTCGGGTCCCAAAAATCTTATCATTTTCAATATTTCTAATTTTTAACTTTGTTAATTTCTGGTTGCTTGCGCCGAATGTTATGCGCGAAATACACCTGTGACTTGTTTTGTAAATAAGCAATTAAAAGTTTAAATTTTATTATCATTGTTACCTATCAAAATTCATACTTAAATGATTTTAAATTCGAACATAAATAGTTATACGTGTTTATTGAAGTTACGGTAGCATTTTACCCATTAATTTTAATTAAATTATTTTCTAATTACATAATTTACTTAAATTAAACGAGAAGCAACTTAACCTCATAATTTTTATAATTATTTAATACCTTTTATCTTCTTGTTAAATATTAAAAATACTTTTCCAATGTCTCTCATTAAATTGGTCCAAAAAGTTTAATCTACGTTTTATATTCTTATAATATGATTTATTAAATTTCGAAATAAATTATCATTACCTTTTTGTCACGCAAGTAAAAAAAAAGAGTTTCTGTAAGATTTTTTTAAGATATTTTATAATTATACGTTATTTTATGATTTTATAATCTTTTGATATCGCTACCGCATATATAAATGAAAATTTCATTATTCTTCTAATATGACACAATGATATATATAACATAAAAAAGAAAGTCAAATTTTTTATCTATCTACTTAAGAAATTCAACTAATTATGGCAGATGGAGTGGACACATTATTATTATTCTCAATTTTAACATTTCTCCATTATGCACTCAAGCATATGTAATATATAATACATTTTTGAAAAAAAATTGATAAAGCATTATATTATATTATACAAATATAGATACAGTTGTCCCCTTATCTTTTCTAACCAATAATTTAAAGAAAAAATTATTTGCCTTATTGACCACCTCCTTAATTTATTTAAAAATGATTCATACCAAAATTTGCGATATTTTTATTTAGTAAAATAAAGTTTTTTAAAATAGTATATACTATATAGATAATTGGTAAACATCAGATTATGCCATTTATTAAGTATAGCCACTATTTAAAAAAAATTGAAAAATCACAATATATATACGAATATTAATTTTCAATATTTATATACTATACATTCAAATTTATATATTCGATTATACTTATACCCTTTTCTTAAAATTTTTAAACCTATTAACGTCTATATATTATTTCCCTTTTCAAATGTACTTTTTGTTTTATCGATTTTTTTTAATACAATGTGTAAAATTTTTAAGGTAAAAAAAACAAGACATTAAATACAATCCAAATATTTAAGCTATTTTGGGGTTTTTTTTTTAAATCAGACTTGTAAAGATATCCATCATTTTCAGATCCGTATGCGTTTTTTAAAATAAACTACATAGCCCAGATCATTTTGTAAAAAAACAATTATCTAGCCTGTAATTTTTTTTTTATTTAAGCTCACCCCGTAATTTAAAAATTTGATCCTTATTCGGGCCTGTCAGAATTTTAAAATATCCTCATTCGAATTAATTTTGTTTATATTTTTTAAATATTTTTTTAAAGATAAACAGGGGAAGTAAAGCAAGGTTGGGTTGAGCCGTCCCTAACATTATTAAACTATAGCCCCAATCCCCCATCAAAAAAAGTATTTTCCCCATATCTTAAATCTTTGTTTGATTATAGAATGAATTATTAAAAAAATAAGAAAAGTTAAATAATCAGATGGGAAATTTAATAAATTGAATAAAATAAATAGAAAAACATTGAATTATCAGTTATTGCTTATTAACCTTAGAGTGCATAACATAAAAATAGAGAATAAAATAATTACTTTGAGTTTAAGATGTATTTTCTAATTCCGTTTATAAAAAGTTGGGCCACGGGTCGGGCCTGGACCTAAAAAAAGTTACCGGGATTCAGACAGGCATTTTTCTTAAAATCGGAATAGTATATTTATTGCGATTTCAGCGGATGCCACTTTTAACCATATATCTATGCATTTCTGCTTAAAATTTTTTTTTTAAATTCCGCTCTGCCCAGGTTTATAACTTTATTTATTTTTAAAATATTCGGCCCGGACCATGCTTTAGTACGGGCTTACCAGGGGACGATTTTTATTAAAATACTTTCAAGTGGTATTTAAAATTTTATATTTCGGAGTATATACAATATTTTTCGGAATTCCCCGACTCTATACATTCATTAATAGGAATTTACACAACATATTTATTTTAGAGGTAAAGAATGAAATTAAAGTCATATAGTTTAATAAAATTTTAGGAATGTGACAATTTTGGAGATTAAATTAGTTTTAACGATTTTCAATTAGAATTTAATTTTTAATTAAACAATTAAAAAATTTTATTATTGCAATTCCATGACATACCAATGTTTTGATACAAATATTTCATTTTCAATTATTTTAATAATTTGAAACATATAGAATTATTTTAATAATGCATTAAAAAACTATTTTTATAAAAATTATTTCATTAAATTATATTTTAATATTTTTCGATTAAGGCACAGTTAGATCAGTATTACTAATTGACAGTTGGAAATAATTCATGATGTGTTTTTTCGTTGCTTTTTTTTCTTTCTTGTTTACATCCCTAATATTAACTGATTAAACCATTTACTCTGTAATAAAATTATAAGTTACAAATAATTAATCTACGATAAAGTTTAATTTTTTAATAAAAATTAGATATATTTATATGTAAGTCATCAATAAATAATTTAAATATAACATAAGACCCAAAAAATTGACAGAATCAGAATCATATGGTTTAAAATTTGTAAATAATTTATATATCTGCATCAGGTGAAAAATCTGGAATTGCATGTCTAATTTATTTTAAGAAATGCCTAATTATAAAAAATTAACAATATTTTTTTCATATATACAAGTTTGGATCATATCCGCACTGCATTTATAGTTGTTGCATCTACGATGGGAACAATATCGATCCTTTTGTTAATCGTTGGATTCCTGGCAACTGGTGCCACCCGAGAAACCATATACAGAGGCAATAAATCCAGGATAAGTGGCAGAGTTTCTATCATATTTGTAAATCTTACTATATTCATAATATCAGTAATAAAGAGGTTATATTTATTTACATTAAACATTCAAGGTTAAATATTATAAGTGGGGGAGATGGGGCTAGTTAAACTATGGAGCTTGTCAAACCATTTGATTCGATTTCAAAATTTAATAAAATACTATGATATTTATATTTTGTCCTATCATAAATTTTATTAATACAAAAAATATTTTGAAATAATTAGCTATTCAATTTAAAAAAAATAAATATACAATTTAATTTTTATTGCAAAGTTTTTGAGAAAGTTTTACAAACATTGTGGTGTTTAATCACGATTAGTAATGCTAGTGCCAGTGGGGCTTGCTAACCTAGGGTGCAATCACTAATACATTATAATATAATTAAATTTATATTTTATCTTTGGTTATTTCGTGGATTATTTAAATCGAATTTCAAAGATATTATAAAAAAAATAATCTTGTATTTTATGTCATGAATGTTTATAAAATTATCAATATGTTATAATTTATATTTATATTTGAACTGAATTATATTATATATTTAAAATATTAAAATGATTCTATATCAATCTTAAGAAAGTAGAAATGGCAATTTTGTCCATTACAAAGTAGGAACAATGGTTTTAAGAAATCTTATAAAGTGGTTTAACTTATCACGATTGGAAAACTATAGTTTTAATGGTCCATTGATATTATAAAATACAAGATATAAAAAGGCAGAGATGTTATTGGCACTTTTTTAAAGCTGATTTGCATAGCCTCAGTTTTCCCCCAATACTATAAATCATTTATTATCAAATGGGGTTATAATATTGTTTAAAATTTATATTCTTATAAATATTATTACTATGTTAACCATCTGAAATATTAAGATTAACTCGAAGAGTATTCTATATAATATTGTAAAATATCATTATATCATATTTTATAGGGTACATCTTTATTATTTGACCAATTTTCCAAAATTAAATTCTATTTAAATTATGTGAAGTTTATTTAATATATAAAATAATTTCAGAAATTCTCGGGTTAGGCAATTTCTCAAATTTTTAAGCTTAAAATTAGGCAAGTTTATATATTTTTTGTCTTCATAAAAATTATACGGGCCAAGCCTTGTACAAAAATATTTTACGGGCCAGTAAAGGAAAACTTGAACAAAATTATTTTAAGGGCCTGGCAGAAAATGCCTTCACGACTATTTTTATAAAAAAATTGGTTTCATTTTGTGGTATTTGTCTCAAATAAATAATAATTTTAAAATCTCAACATTTGCATTTTGTCGAATCTTGTTTTTGATTTATACAGGGTTTCGAAATAAAACTAATTTGATATAAATCATGATTTTTTAATATTTTAATTAAACGTAATAATTACAAAATTCACCACTTACAAATAATTAATCACGACATTTTATTACAAATTTCTTTTAAAATTTTGGCAAATAAGCGAAAATTATTTAGTAGTCTTTTCATATCCTTAAAATTTATTATAATATTTAAAAAAATTTTATCAATTTATTTGATATTATATTTGTCAGTAACAAGCAATACTTAAATGTATAACTAGTATTTTTTCTTAAACTTAAATTTTAACAATAACATGAAATAATATAAGATTTTATCATTAAAATATTTAAAATATAAAATCTAATTTTTCAGCCTATTAAAGTCAAAGCCTATTTTTAAATTTGGATTGGACTGTGCCAAAGGATTCTTTCTATAGAAGCTAAAGAAGCTGATACTCCAAAGAGTTAATTGAAGATTATAATTATTTCTGTATTATCACCAACGATCTAAACCACTCAAGATTCAAGTCATAATTTAATACATAAGGCGAAAACTTTTATTAAACGTTTCTGATATTTGTTATTAGTTATTTACCAGGGATTCCAGTTATTGTTTGACACAATCTAATATGTTCGATGTTTTTTTTGCAATACATCAATAGATTTTATGAATGAAATTAAATTAGTATCTTGAAAATCCTTTGAGGCTGATATTTAGAACTTTTTGGTAGATTATTGCCAATATTTTTTTAGATATCTTCACAAATTTTACATATTGACCATTAGCTATGTTGACATACTATTTGTTAGTCTGTCAACCCACACTAGGATTTAGAGCGTAAAATGATTATTTTTAAAATATTTAATATTTGTTAATTTACACTTTTTACTTCTAAATCATCATGTGAAGTACATCTATTGGTTAGAATTTTTAAAATTAAAATTTATATTTGCAGTATTCCTCATCTTCAAGTATTGTGCAGATTTGATGAAAAAGATTTCCATATTTCTAAATTATCTGAAAATATAATTATTGAAGGTAATAAAGCACATTTAAAAAAATGTATAAAAATTTTATTCATAAATCTCCAACTTTAAAGCTTTCATCATATAAAATTAATCCTATTTTTAAAAAAAATCTGATTTAAATCAAAAAAATAAATATACCCTTCTTTAATTTAAATATTTCTAGTCTTATTCTCCTTATCCTTTGTTTAATGGGAGGGAGGAGGTTAGACTTAGAGATTAACCATTTTTATGGCTAAGAAAAATCGTAAATTTGCATTGTTCCGGGTTAGCGCAGATGTCTGATAAGATAACATTTATTCATTAAGTAAGTCTTTCAATTTAAAATGTTAAATATAAACACTCAAAAGTTTATGTTGGTGACGTATGTACTAAGCTTGGTCTGGCTCCTGGTTCTTTGCTTGATGACCATCCTATGTTTTACCTTGGGAATGTTTGCGGGAAATTGTTATGCTAATCGCAAAGAAAGCACAGGGGTTTGCCTTACATTAGACCCTTACAGTAATTTTTAGAATTTTTCTTTCTTTTACATTCATCTTTAGTGTAATTTGGACTGTATTTATTTTAAACTAAGAAAATAAATCGTAATTTTTAACTATAAAATTATGTTTTAAATCAAGAAAAGGATAATTAATTATAATTTGCTAAGTATTACCGGTAAAAAACACCCCCCTAGATTTTAATTTTCTAAACGCTTCAAATTTCTTAAATTTTAAACTTAAGCAAAAACATTTTTTAAAAGCCACCTATCATTTAACTATGGCATCTTAATAAAAAAACTGCGACTAATAAATTATGAATTTGAAATATTTTGAAAATCATAATTACACTATAAATAATTGAATTTTTAAAAAAAATTCCTAGAAAAATATGAGATTATTATAAATCCTTATATTGTCAAATAACTTTAATTACTTTAACACTATTATTAAAATGAAAATAAATACTGCATAAAATTTTTAAAAATAAATATGCAAGACGAATAAGTTTTAGAAAAATTTAATATATTTAAGAAGATAATTATATCTGACATTGATACTAGTAAAATTATTATTCCTCATTATTTTGTCAAAATTTTTTTTTATTTATAATAAATTAAAAATATATTTAAAATTAAATTTTATTTTAGTAAAGTATAATTTACTCATTTATATTTATATCGAATTATCTTTTATAATTACAACCTTTGTTAAAAGATTTTTACAAAGATATCATATTTAATACGTTTTAGAAGTTTTCTTAGGTGGAAAATACGACACCAGATTCAATGTTCAATGCGGACAATCGTTTTTACAATTTTGCAAATATGTAATAATATGAGAATATATTTATATATTTTGAATAATATATTTATATCATAAACATAAATATTTGAATTTAGACCCAAGATAGTCTCTCACTATACATAATTGCATACGTGTCAACATTACTAATAGTTATAGGACTGGTTAGTTAAATTAAATATTTTATCCAATTTTTTGTTTTTCATATAGCATAATCCGCTTATAACAATTTTCCGTATTCCATTATAAAGCGGGATACGTTATTATTATCAAAATTATTTAAACAAGTGAAAGATTCCCATATTTAGGGTGTTTACATTTTAATGCGAGAGTTTTGACATTTTAAGCACCTTGTTTATTTAAATGTATACTTTTTGGTGGGGTAAGGTTGCTTATCTTCCTATAACTTATGGAAAGATAGGGGTTGATGATCAAATTCTTTTTTTTTGCCCGAGCTTAGTCCGATTTAAAATTAAAATTTATTTTTGAACTGGGTCTTATTAATGTTAGACTCAATCATCCTAATTTTTTTAAGTCTGACTTCGAGTTGACTTTTAGAGTGCCGAATATTTTTTTAAAGAGGAATATTTGTTTCTTTAATTTTCTGCCACTGATAGGAAATTTCTCCGCAGCTTTTTAGAGGGCTCTGATTTTTATTAGAATGCCATTAAATGACTTTGGCAAGATAATCATTGATTTATAGCTATGTAAAAAAAATGTAACATAATTTTTATGTTTTTTGTTTGTTTTAACGATTCTAGATTCACTATTTGATGTGTCTTTCTGCAAATTATGCTCATATAAAAGATTATAAAAAGATGATGGAATATGAGGAAGCTAAATATCTGGAAGAACAAGAAATGAATAGTATTGTTAAAAGCCGATTTTAAAATATTTTTATATCAAAATAATTTTTTTTTAAATATTATATTTTATAAAATGAATGTACACTTAGTTTAGAAAAAAAGGGTGTAGACTTAATCAGCATTTCATTCCATATTATTTGTAAAATCATTATTTTATATCCTTTTTTAATATTTTTTAGACTGTATTTTTACAAATTTCGTATACAAACTTTATTTATATAAATGATGTCATGTTCAAATAAATTTTTTATTCATTCATTATTTATTATCAGAGTTTGAAATAATATCCACCAAATTTATCAAATAAATTATTTTAAAATTCGAGCAAATTTTTGCTCGAAAATTTTTATATAGCAGGCACATAGAGCAAATTATTTAGCAGTGTTGTTAAAATAGCGCGCTACTTTTTTCAGTAGCGGTAGCTATAGCGCGCTACTTTTTTAAAAAAATAGCGATAGCGGTAGCTCGCTACTAATTTAGAAAGTAGAGAAGTAGCGCGCTACTTCGCTACTTTTAATTTTACATAATAAATACATCTAAAAATTATTAAAATATATTTTTTATAAAATCTAAAATTATAATCCTTTTATTTAATTTAATTTTGAAATTTATATTTAAAAATATACATTTATATATTAGATATAAACAGTTGTTAAATAGCAATCTGTATTTAACTTATATTTCGCGCATTCATTAAATTATATATTTTTGGAATTCATTTATTGGTATGTCCTTGCTTTTATCTTATTTTATATTTCATTTTACATTTTATATTAAGCATTATAAATCTTATGTGTGAGATTGTTGAAGATATTGATATTTCTTTGGAAAATGAGCAAAATATAGATGATCCTTTCCATAAATTCAAGAAATACTTTAACCTTGAAGAAAAAATTAATACTGGGTATCGGTTTCGGTTGCAAGATGTGCCGCAAAATTATCTCTTCAAATCATACGAGCAACTTTAATTTGAAAAAACATTTAAAGGTAATATATTAAACAAATTTAATATCAATGTGTAGGCTAATCTTTAATTTTAAAAATAAATTAAAATCAAAAACCAATCATTTTATTTATATATTCATAAATTTTATCTAAATTATTTAAAACATTTTAAAATAGTTATTTCAATCATTTTTATGTACTTATCTCCTACATAATTTTTATTCTAAGTATTTTATAATTTTAGACTGTGCACACTTCATATAAAGAGATTGAAAAATATCTCAAAAGTTTTGGGGTAATGGAAGAAGATAAACCCACTTCCAAATCAAATTTAATACAAACAAAATTAACCAATTTGGATTCATCAACACCTGGTGTATCCCAAAAATTGGCTGACAGTCATTATGAACTTTATAATAGATACAGTTCAACCATTATCCTTGGTGGAAAATGATTCTTTTATAAAGATGATAAACACTTTTTCTCCACGGACCAAGATATTTTGCCGGCAGACATTGATGGCAAGAAATTTGGAGAGCTTTAAGGAAATGAAAGAATCTTTGATATTAAATCTATCAGATGTCTCCTACGTCTGTACAACGGCAGATTGCTGGACTCACAATAGAAGGTAAAAATGTTTATTTTCTGATTTATAATATGTCATATTTTTAGAGCTTATTTAGGAGTAACTGCACATTAGATTGATCCTAAAAATCTTAAACGAAAATCTGTAGCGTTAGCTCTAAAGAGAATAATTGGCTGTCAGACTTATGACATTCTAGCCAATATTATTGCAGAAATCCATAGGTCTTACAAAATTCAAAACAAGGTTTGTAAGATGATTACGGATAATGGGTCTAATTTCCTGAAGGCCTTCAGGTTTTAAATTTATTATAATTTTTTTATAATATGATATAAATAATATAGAATATTTGGGGAAGATAATAATAATAACAATACTAGTAATATTCCTGACAAAAATATTGAAGATGGAAAACAAGAAGAGGAAGATGAAATGGAGTTTGAGATAATTGATGTTCATGACATCCTTGGTTTTAAATTATTTTATTTTTAATATTTCACCACTATAAAATAAAAATTATAATATTTAGGATCTTCAATAAAGTCTTCTATGTTATCTAGCCATCATCGATGTTCCTGCCACAACCTAAATTTAGTTGCAACAGTGGATGCTGAAGAAGCATTATTAAATGAGGATTTTAAAAGAGTATCAAGATCTACATTTTCTAAATGCCAAGCTCTTTAGAATAAACAAAATAAGCCATCAAAGACGTCTGATATTTTCAAAAAAAAATTAGGACGTTATTTATTGACACCAAATACTACAAGATGGAATAGTGTTTACAATGCTATGAAACTTTTAGCATTGTTTCTAGATGAGAAAAAAATGGAAATGAATTATATATTGGATCAAATGGGAATACAGTATTTTAATGTGGAAGAGCATACTTTTATTAAAGAATATACTGAAGTATTTTTAATTAACCTCTAGATGCTTTTTTTAAATCTAAAAATACTAATTTAAATATTTTTGATGATTTTTTTCATATAAAAAGTTTGTTTATTAAATTTAATACTGCGTTGCCCTCAAGTGCTAGTGCTGAACGATTATTTAGTATGGCAAAGCTTATACTTTCTAATCGTCGCTCTAGACTTGGGGATGACAGTACCGAAATGTTATTATTATTAAAGTGCAATAATAAATAAATTATATATATATATGTAACAAATTATAGTCATGTTTTTATATCAATATTTTATTTGTGGAAATAAAGTTACGTAAAAAAAAATATTTAAAAAAAAAATCAAAGTAGCTAATAGCTCGCTACTCATTTGAAAACGATAGCGGTAGCGATAGCGCGCTACTTTTTTTATAAAATAGCGGTAGCAATAGCGCGCTACTTTTTTTATAAAATAGCGGTAGCGATAGCGCGCTACTTTTTTTATAAAATAGCGGTAGCGATAGCGCGCTATTTTTAAAAGTAGCGTTTAACAACACTGTTATTTAGATTCCTAGTAGTATAATAAAACCTGCATATATAATAATTGTAACAAACCTATAGACACCCTCCCCTCCTCTATCCCACCTCTTTTTAATCTAGTGAAATATAAAATTGTTCAATTATAAAATATATATTGATGCTAACTATGTATTTCTTGTCTAAAAGGGTACACCACCATTCCTGAGATTTTAACGAGGCAGTCCCCCCCCCCTCCATAGGACCCTGTTTACACAAATTTAATTTCTGTTATCTAAAAGAATTTTATTTTGATATAATTAAAATTTAAAGGTTATAATTGAAAAATATAAAGATGATTTCTAATTTTTTATAATATATAACTAACTACAATAAATTCACATCCAATTAGGTTTGGTTCTTAGTGGGATCCGATCCGACACGATTTAACAGTTGAGCGATTTTGAAAATCTTTTAAAGAGATCAGTTTTACTTTATTAAAATCAATAAATCTTCGATTATTAATCATGAATAAAATTAATAATAATAAAGAAAATCTTATCTCAAGAACAGATTTTAAAAATCGATCATCTGTTAAATTGTGTTGGATCCCTTTATCAAACCAGGCTAAGTATAACTTTTTTAAAATAAAATTATTATAATCGTTTTTTATACCTTTATAAAATATTAAAATATTAGGAAGTATCTCGTACTTGTCATCTAATGTAAAAAAAATATTTTTTAAAATCACAGATTAGCTAAGAATAATAAAACGAGTCAATTCATTATGTTTAATGTGTCAGGAATGCAATCTTGAATGAGATTCTTTCCGATCCTAATACTATTCATATCAAATAGTAGTTAGTCACAACTATTTGTTAAGTGATAATTTCCTATTTTTTTGATTTGCTAGAAATTAAAAAAAATCGGATTTATATTCATTTCTTGACCATTTCTCATCCTATTTGTTTGCTCATTTATATTGGCCAGTTCGATTGCCTCATTCCAACATGCCCCGTAAATTAAACTTGAACTCCCTTTGCTGGGCAGCTTTGTATAATATCCTAATATTTTCATCATTTTTTATAAATTTATAACGTGAATATTTTTTTAAACTTAATTATTAATCATTTATGATGTTCATAAAAATACGAAAGTTGCGAAACGAATTAAAATTTTAGGCTTCAAAAGACAAAAGAGCTTGGATTTAAGTTATCGGTTCTACTCCAATATTCGTCAAAATTTATTTAGAATCTTATCTTAGCCCCCCCCCCTCCCTCATTGTTCTTTTCAAAAGATATTGAAAATTAATTAGATATATGCTTTTTATTTTTTGTAATGTAATAAAATATAGTCATATTTAACCAGTTAGCAGGGGCCTCACTAGCCTTTAAAATCTCAGGTGGCTCAAAAAATATTTTAAAACTTCTCAAAATTACCTGTTTTTATCCAATATCTAAAATTACTTCTTTTTAGCTAACATTTTTTAATACCTTTATCTTTTTACTAACATTATCCAAAATTACATATAATAAAAAAATTTTTAATTTTTCAGAGAGGGGGGGGGGGGGTTGAGACGCTAGCTTAGCGTATTGTTTCTAATCGTTCTCTTATAAAATCGACATATTAAAATCACTTTTTAGAACTTGAATTGAATTAATAACACCCTCATTTACAATGAATGTATTATAGTATATTGTTTGGCATGAATATGTGTTTACTGATAGAATGCCTACCCCAAACTACCTTTAAAAGGATAGTATAAAATTATCCAGTAGTTTCTTTTGGAAAACAATATCTATGATTGATTTAGATAATTATTAGCAATATCATTGTATTTAAATACGTCTATAATAAAAGTAAAAAATTATACTACAATACATTTGCCTTATTTTATCTAAATATTTAATAGATAATCCCCTAATAAATTTATCCTACCCTTAGTCTGTCTATAGATATGCATTGGGCGGGTTTTTAGCCCATAAGCTCGCACACCTAATGTTTTAAAAAATTTAACCAACCCCCCTAACTTGCCCATAGTTTTCTAAAAAAATATAACCCCCCCCCCCCCCATTAATCTAAAATTCCTTACCCACACCTGCTTATTATTTATAAAAAATTTCAACCCAAGTCCATTATTTTAAAATTTAATTATGATCATTATTAAAACATTTAATTAAAAAAAATAATTCAGTGTAAGCATTACACCTCTACAAAATGTTTCATAATTTAAAATAAAACAATACAATGTAGAAATATTCATTAATTCCAAGAAAGTAAATTTTCAATATCCAAAAAGGTTTTATTACGTTACCAAAAAAGGAAATTTTAATTTTTTAATCAACCTCTATCACACATCAATTAACCCCAACAATCTTCATGCTTATTTTCCTTTTTATATAAAATCTTGTCTTTATAACATCATTATTTTCTGCATATTATTTCTTTACTACTCTCTGCCACATCCCCATCCATTGTACAATTAATTTGACAGTTCTTCCCTCTTATGTTTTTTCACTCAATTCATAGCCTCACCTTATTTATATAATAGTACACTGTCCCGCATGCTCAAAAAACATCAAAATCACCAAACCCGGCCTTTTCACCACACACAAAATCAATGGCATTTTGTCCTGAGTCCGGAAAACTTCCTTCTCTTCCCTTCCTAAATCCCCTTTCCATTTTTTCTACTCGCAGCCATTCTTCCACCTCATCCAATAACGTCAACACATCAACCAAATTAGATGCATTTATTCCCCTCCCACTTACCACTCTGTCGACATCATTAGCTTTCTAAAATCCGACAAACCTCCCATTATCTCTAGAATTCCTAAAGGTTCCAATCCAGAGTATAAGTAGCCAAAGACCTCCACCTGCCTCCAGTCATTATTAAATAACTTATCCTCTCTCGATCATTGGCTTAAACATTTCTCATTTTCCTTTACCACTCTCCAACCTCCCAATTCAGATTCAGGAATCTTTAACACAACAAATCAAAGATGCAACTATACATCTCCTAACCCTTACAACCACTGTATCTCCTCATGAACTAAAAACTTCCCAGCCTCCAATTAAAGGCCAAGATAATATCCAGCAAAATTAATAACCTAAACATCAAATCCGCGACGATCTCACAGTCTTTCACCAATTGAACCAAGGATCCGGTTACGAGTTTCTGGAAACCATATCCTCTGATTTATTGCTTTCCACTGACGAGTTAAGATTTTCTATTGGACTACGGCTCAATTGCGAAATTGTTCTGTTTACCAATATAAACATTGTGAAACCAGCGTCGATCGCAAGGGTAGGCATTGCCTCAATTGTCGCTTTTTTGAGGCCGTTTTCCACGGCACACCAAATGTAAGGATATCATATTACGTGCCCTCAAATCCGCAGGCATTCCATCTAGACTTGAAACAACCGGAATTTTTAGAACCGATGGAATACGTCCTGATAGAATGTCCTTGATTCCTTGGTTAAGGGGTCAGCTCCTGATTTGGAACTTCACCTGCATTGACCTAAATACACCATCTAACTACAACGTTGATGCCCTCGCTCTCATAGAATCCCAAAAAATCATCAAGTAAAGTTCCATAGATCCTTCTTTCTTATTCATACCCATCGCCTGCTCCATTCTCATCACCTTCGGTACAAAACTCAACGTTTTTTTAGAATAACCTTCCAAGTATATGCCTTCTCTCTTCCCTCCTCATTCCTTGCCTCCTTTTTTTTATTTTTATTTCATATCCTTTTCCGTAAACTCCATATTTATAGTTTTCACCTTTATTAATTTTATCTTAGAAAAAATTAAAAATATGCTATTACATTTTAATAACATTATATCAGCTACTATTCAAATAAAGTAACCTATGACCGAAAAAAAAAATACAAAAAATTTCATCAGAACAATTTTTTCTTAATATTTACTAAAATGATTTTAAATAACGAAAATTTAAAATATTTTTAACCCCCCCCCCCCGCCCATTGTTTAAAATATTTTAACCCGCCCCACCCGCCCATTGTTTAAAATTTTTAACCCTCCCACCGGCTCTCCCACTTAGATCGTGGGACGGGCCGAAAATATGCCTAATGCAGACCTCTAACCTTTTAAATGCCGGCCCCATATCCCCCTTAAAAAATCGGGTGCAATTCCTACTCCCCGTTCATGTGGGCGCAGACTGGGAAATATCTTTTTCGGTAATAAAGATTTTTTGAAATATAAAAAAATATTAATTAGAAACTAAATAGAAAAATAGCAAGCAAGGAGGTAGAAAGAGAAGAGTGGCCAGACATGAGCAAAAACACTCTATTTAATTATAGCTCTAAAATACTTTTAAAAAATAAATAACGTTACTGTGGTTAAATTACATTTTTCATTCAAACAAAATACATGCTTTATAAAATTTCAAAAAAAAACTAAAAAATTTGCTTATATTAAAAAATGTTGAATGAAAATAATTATAAGTATAGTATATATTTCGTTTCCTAATTTTTTGACTAAACAAATTCGAAGTTTATGATTATTATTTCCTTTATCAAAGCATTTAATTTAGAAATAAAATCTATGTACAAAGTATCATTCTTGCTTTTTTTATAGCCTTCGCAAAGTTATTCAGTTCTTAATGGTAAATCATCTTTATATAAAATATTTTGACAACTAGGTTCAAATTAAATTTTTAAAAAAAATAAGATATTAATAATTTCCAGTTTAATTAAGTTACGACATTAAAACAATAAATATTTCTTGATATTAAAAAAAAATAAAAATTCAAACATTTATGAATTACAAATACATATTCCCAAATTAATTAACACCCCCTCATTTTATCAAATTACAACTATTGTAACCTCCACAAGGTGTCCATAAATTCATATATATTTTTTAGCAAGAAACCATTTTAAGCGGGAGAATTAGCTCATTGAATCTCTAATCTTGTGCAGAAAATTAAATTAATTAGATAAATACTTTTTAACTTTTATAAAAATTTTGCCTATAGACATTATTCTAATAATAATTGTGTGTATACATATACACCTAACTAAAGAGAGATTATTAGGGGCTCGAAGCCTTTATTTATAGAGCCCCCTCAATTTAACAATAGAAATTTTGAAGCAAAATATTAAAGTACTAGTTATTAACCCGTCAAGAATGACAGGGTTGAGGGATAATTAGTTTGTGTATAAGGTACTAAATATACTTAATTAATAAATATATTTTATAAAAATATTAAAATTTAGGCGAAAAAGAGGTAAATTTGTAAATCATATCTCATAAGATATTCTTCATTTCTGATTCATCTATCATCTAATGAGGGAGAAAAGTAAGATGACCCGTCTTTCTTGAAGGGCAAATTGAAAAATATATAACTAAGAGACCAGAGCTTCCGTTAGTCAGCATTGCTGAGTACGTCAAAAATGACGGGGAATGAGAATTTTCTCCTTACTCTTATGATAGTTGTTATATGTTATTTGAAAATAATATCCAATTTTATTCTTTATAACCCCCTCCCACCTTAAGGTCAGGTCCAATCAAACTAAGTTTAAATGTGATGTTTTGAGTCAAAATATATTTAAAGCTTTTACTTGATACCCAATCAATATTATTTGCTAAAATATTACTGATCATCTATGCCTATTATTTAATATAGAAATAATTCCCGAGCAAGGTCCAAAGCTATAATAATTTTGAAAAAATTTTCACAACCAAAGATCATAATAATTTTGGAAATTGAGAACTGGAATAAAATATTTTAAAAAATCTTAATGAATTTAAAAATACAATCTAAATTAGATTTTATGGGCCTTGGTTTATTTGTTTTAGGTCAATGTCTGATCCATAGTTAATAATAAAAAAATTTCCAAGCGTCCAAGCTGATAATAATTTGGAAAATTTTCCAAGCGTTGCCAAATGTAATTTATAAAAATAATTTCCAAGCCTAGCCCGACCCATTATAATTTTAAAAAAGATTTCCTAAACCTAGTCAATCGATAATAATTTAAAAAATTCAGATTCCAATAAAAAAAATTATAAAAATATTTTTCGAGCCCAGCCCGACCCATTATAATTTTAAAAAAATTTTCTCAAACCTGGCCAACCAATAATTTTGAAATTGTTTTCCCAAGCCTGGAGCTTCCAATAAAAAATATAAACATTGATATATTTTAATTACTTTCATAATATAGTTTTATATATAAGAAAAATTGTATTACTATATTAAATATAGATGGGGGGGGGGGGGGGGGTGACTGGAAAGATCGTTTGTCTAACGAATGCTAAGTCAGTAGTTCGAATCTCGTTGAAATATAAAAAAACTTTTAAAAAAGTTTTCTTTTTTTAAAAAAAATAATTTATCATTAGAGGTATATAGTCTCCTTCGATTTATTTAACAATAAGATGATAGTTGATACCAAAAATAAAAATTAACATTAAGGTTATATGAAAACGTTCATTTCTTGATTACGGCTATTATATATATTAGATATTGTTTTTTAATTTTTTTTCATAAAATTTCAAGCACCCACTAAACTTTAGTAAACTGAAAAGTCTAATGATTGGGTTGGTCTATACCCACTGGCGTTTCTAAGATTAGTTCGAAAAATGGATGGGAGAATTATTTCTAAATAATAGGAATCAGTTAATCAGGTAAGCATAATTTTAGACAAGTGGTTAAAGAGGATGAGGGGTTGTTTTTATAGGAAAAAACGGTATTACATAATAAAATCATAGTAATAATCAATTTTAACTTTTCACGTTCTTCTTATGCGAAAAAAATTAGAAGTACATAAACCACATATGCCATTTAATATTATTTTAGAGTATCTCTCTTACCCTATTCACTTGTGTAAAATACAATCCAATAGAAATTGGGGATCCATATCTATGGTATCGGGCCGATCCGTTTGTCTGTCTTTTGTCATTATACCATTTCGCTTCAATTTATCGAAAAATTTCATCTAATTTTCTCCACGCTTCAATTTTTAGAAAAATTTCAATAACCTATTTACTTTGACCACAGCATGCAATGGTAAATTATTTAATATACATTATGTGATTTATTGTTTTCTAGATGTTTGCAAATATTTGACTGCAAGAAGAGAAATCTAATTTTCTCCACGCTTCAATTTTTAGAAAAATTTCATCTAATTTTCTCATCTCTGTAAATGATACCTTCCTCATTCTCCACTCTGTAAATGATTTTCTCTACTCTGTAAATGATACCTTCCTCATTCTCCACTCTGTAAATGATACCTTCCTCATATAGAAGGTCAAAATATTATAAAAACAAAATATATTTTAACTGTAATTCACCCACCTGCAATGGAAAAGGTTACAGTGTAAATAATCTATTTACTTTGACCACAGCATGCAATGGTAAATTATTTAATATACATTATGTGATTTATTGTTTTCTAGATGTTTGCAAATATTTGACTGCAAGAAGAGAAAGTATTTTACAAAATAACATAAAATATTATACTTTAAATTTTTTTAAAATAATTAATCAAAATTTTGTTAATATATTTTCTTTTAAATTTTATTAAAAATAGTTTATCTAAATTATGATATAATATTATACTTTAAATTTTTTTAAAATAATTAATCAAAATTTTGTTAATATATTTGCTTTTAAATTTTATTAAAAATAGTTTATCTAAATTATGATATAATATTATACTTTAAATTTTTTTAAAATAATTAATCAAAATTTTGTTAATATATTTGCTCTTAAATTTTATTAATAATAGTTTATCTAAATTATGATATAATATTATACTTTAACTTTATTATAAATAACAAATTTTTTTTAAATAAATTTTTCCTTAAGTATCTGGCAATCAGGCTGGTGATGGATACAGAAATGTGGTGATATCTGGGGTCTTTTTGGAAGAAGATCAAGAACCCGTTTCTTCCAATCTCAATCAAGTGCAAGAGGCTGGGGAGAGTGTTGGAGGAAGTATTTTACAAAATAACATTATACTTTAAATTTTTTTAAAATAATTAATCAAAATTTTGATAATATATTTTCTTTTAAATTTTATTAAAAATAGTTTATCTAAATTATGATATAATATTATACTTTAAATTTTTTTAAAATAATTAATCAAAATTTTGTTAATATATTTTCTTTTAAATTTTATTAAAAATAGTTTATCTAAATTATGATATAATATTATCCTTTAACTTTATTATAAATAACAAATTTTTTTAAAATAAATTTTACCTTAAGTATCTGGCAATCAGGCTGGTGATGGAGACAGAAATGTGGTGATATCTGGGGTCTTTTTGGAAGAAGATCAAGAACCCGTTTCTTCCAATCTCAATCAAGTGCAAGAGGCTGGGGAGAGTGTTAGAGGAAGTATTTTACAAAATAACATTATACTTTAAATTTTTTTAAAATAATTAATCAAAATTTTGATAATATATTTTCTTTTAAATTTTATTAAAAATAGTTTATCTAAATTATGATATAATATTATACTTTAAATTTTTTTAAAATAATTAATCAAAATTTTGTTAATATATTTTCTTTTAAATTTTATTAAAAATAGTTTATCTAAATTATGATATAATATTATCCTTTAACTTTATTATAAATAACAAATTTTTTTAAAATAAATTTTACCTTAAGTATCTGGCAATCAGGCTGGTGATGGAGACAGAAATGTGGTGATATCTGGGGTCTTTTTGGAAGAAGATCAAGAACCCGTTTCTTCCAATCTCAATCAAGTGCAAGAGGCTGGGGAGAGTGTTGGAGGAAGTATTTTACAAAATAACATTATACTTTAAATTTTTTTAAAATAATTAATCAAAATTTTGATAATATATTTTCTTTTAAATTTTATTAAAAATAGTTTATCTAAATTATGATATAATATTATACTTTAAATTTTTTTAAAATAATTAATCAAAATTTTGTTAATATATTTTCTTTTAAATTTTATTAAAAATAGTTTATCTAAATTATGATATAATATTATCCTTTAACTTTATTATAAATAACAAATTTTTTTAAAATAAATTTTACCTTAAGTATCTGGCAATCAGGCTGGTGATGGAGACAGAAATGTGGTTATCTGGGATCTTTTTGGAAGAAGATCAAGAACCCGTTTCTTCCAATCTCAATCAAGTGCAAGAGGCTGGGGAGAGTGTTGGAGGAAGTATTTTACAAAATAACATTATACTTTAAATTTTTTTAAAATAATTAATAAAATTTTGTTAATATATTTTCTTTTAAATTTTATTAAAAATAGTTTATCAAAATTGTCTTATAATATTATCCTTTAACTTTATTATAAATAACAAATTTTTTTTTTATAAATTTTTCCTTAAGTATCTGTCAATCAGGCTGGTGATGTAGATATAAATGGGGTGATATCTGGGGTCTTTTTGGAAGAAGTTCAAGATCCTTTAACTCAAATCATAGAACTACCTCTACATTTCCCATTCTTAGATGAAAGTTTTATAGATGAAGAAGATGTAGTAGATACCTCCATTGCAGCTAATAGCTCTGATACTTTTCCAGTAATAGTTAATAGCATTCAATCTTCATTCTTAAATATCGAACAACCATATAATTTTATTCTTTCCCAAAAAAATCGTAATTTATTATATTCCAATAAATATTTATATATACATTATAAATTTGGGTTTTTATTTAAATGTAGACTAAAGCATTGTACCGCTAGAGGTACTTTGTTAAATAGGAAGTTTACATTAACCAATTTTCACAACCATTCTGATGAATCTGAGGAAGAGCATTATGCAATTTTAGTAACTGAATAATCTTAAAGAACAAATTCGAGCATACCCCTACCAAAGCAAACGTAAAACATATAATCAAGTTATGCGTATTAGAAAAATGGATCCACTCGTTCAACTCCATCCTAATGCTCTACCAACATTTATATCTGTGAAAAGTATTATGAATCGTGTTATTAAATCATTGAGACCTCCTTTACCTCTTATAAATTCTGATATCCGATTAGACGGCGATTATACGTTAACACTAGATAATAAAACATTTTTAATTTCTAATGAAAATAATGAATTATCTACACATGAATTACTTGAATGCCTCTGTAATGCTGACCAAATTTTGATGGACGGTACATTTTTTTCGTGTCCATTATTATTTAAGCAATTATACACTATTCATATAATGATTAATCATAAAATAATTCCTTGCACATATATATTGTTGCCAAATAAAAACAAAGAAACATATTTAAAAATGTTGGATCTTTTAAAAAATTATTGCTTATCTATAGGTTTTTTATTTTCTCCTCCTAAAGCACTTATAAATTTTGAAATGGGAGTACTTAGAGCTCTCGAAGAAATGTTTCCAACCATTTCTGTCAAGGGATGCTACTTTCATTATTGCCAATGTATTTTAAGACGTATACAGGGTAATAGATTGACAGCATTTAGTCGGCTTAATCCTGATTTTAAGAGATTTTATCGCACTCATGGCGATACCCTTTTTAACTGAAATGGACATACCATTGGTATTGTCTGAATTAAATAGTGAGGTAGAGGCCTTTAATTTAGATCCCATAAGAGATCTTTTTACATATTTTAAAAATACTTGGATTAACCCAAACGCAAAATTTAAATATAAGATGTGGAATATGTATGATGTTCAAGGAGTAAGAACAAATAACCATGTTGAAGGATTTCATCGTTCTCTAAAAGAGTATATAAAATATTCTCATCCTAATTTATATCTTTTTATTGATATATTAAAACAAATACAACAAGATATGGATATCAAATTCATTCAATTGCGTAATGGGAAAAAGGTTACTGAAAGGAAAAAAAAATACTGTATAATATACGAAATTATATTATACTACTTGTACACCAATGCAGTATTTAGATAAAATATCAAGATATTTAATAATGAAATAAAATAATGAGTGGACAAATTCATTATCTAGTCAGCAGGTATCTCCTTATTTTTTTTCGATATTAAATATCTCGATATTTTATCTAAATACTGCATTGGTGTATAAGTAGCATAATATAAAAATGTTTCTCGTCTTATTTTTTCGTCTATTATACAGTATTTTTTTTTCATTTCAGTAACTTTTTTCCCATTACGCAATTGAATGAATTTGATATCCATATCTTGTTGTATTTGTTTTAATATATCAATAAAAAGATATAAATTAGGATGAGAATATGTTATATACTCTTTTAGAGAACGATGAAATCCTTCAACATGGTTATTTGTTCTTACTCCTTGAACATCATACATATTCCACATCTTATATTTAAATTTTGCGTTTGGGTTAATCCAAGTATTTTTAAAATATGTAAAAAGATCTCTTATGGGATCTAAATTAAAGGCCTCTACCTCACTATTTAATTCAGACAATACCAATGGTATGTCCATTTCAGTTAAAAAGGGTATCGCCATGAGTGCGATAAAATCTCTTAAAATCAGGATTAAGCCGACTAAATGCTGTCAATCTATTACCCTGTATACGTCTTAAAATACATTGGCAATAATGAAAGTAGCATCCCTTGACAGAAATGGTTGGAAACATTTCTTCGAGAGCTCTAAGTACTCCCATTTCAAAATTTATAAGTGCTTTAGGAGGAGAAAATAAAAAACCTATAGATAAGCAATAATTTTTTAAAAGATCCAACATTTTTAAATATGTTTCTTTGTTTTTATTTGGCAACAATATATATGTGCAAGGAATTATTTTATGATTAATCATTATATGAATAGTGTATAATTGCTTAAATAATAATGGACACGAAAAAAATGTACCGTCCATCAAAATTTGGTCAGCATTACAGAGGCATTCAAGTAATTCATGTGTAGATAATTCATTATTTTCATTAGAAATTAAAAATGTTTTATTATCTAGTGTTAACGTATAATCGCCGTCTAATCGGATATCAGAATTTATAAGAGGTAAAGGAGGTCTCAATGATTTAATAACACGATTCATAATACTTTTCACAGATATAAATGTTGGTAGAGCATTAGGATGGAGTTGAACGAGTGGATCCATTTTTCTAATACGCATAACTTGATTATATGTTTTACGTTTGCTTTGGTAGGGGTATGCTCGAATTTGTTCTTTAAGATTATTCATAGTTACTAAAATTGCATAATGCTCTTCCTCAGATTCATCAGAATGGTTGTGAAAATTGGTTAATGTAAACTTCCTATTTAACAAAGTACCTCTAGCGGTACAATGCTTTAGTCTACATTTAAATAAAAACCCAAATTTATAATGTATATATAAATATTTATTGGAATATAATAAATTACGATTTTTTTGGGAAAAAATAAAAAAATTTGGTTGTTCGATATTTACGTTAAGGTTGAGTGGTTATATTTATGAGGAAAAGATTGGTGAAATTTATTACATCTTTTCCAGCCATGAAATTTTTATCTGCATGGTAAATGTAGATTTTTATAATGTGTTATAGTTTGAGAAAATTAATATTAACATTGTATTGTGTGAATATATTCTGTATGTCATATTACTACTAATTAAATATTATATTTTATTAAAGGATATTTGTAGCTTTTTAAATTTATTGTTCATTTGAAAAAATTGATAATTTCCGAAAATTATATTTCATAATAAAACTATTTATACATATATTTTTGTATCATATCTAAACAAGTGTATGGGTGGAATAATAAAGGAAATACAAAATCTTAATTTCTAATCCTTATTTTATTCAAATCAATTTTGATAATATATTTCTGACGCGATATCTTTTTTAAATTAAAAAAATTGATTAATTAATTAATAGACTTTTCTTGTGTCTTGCTCAATCATAGGTTTTAATTAAATAGGTTAATGGTAAAATTAAATCAGCCATCGGCAGGTGCTCAACCCAAAGTATGATACGAACAATAATTATAAAATCTCTTACAAAAAATTATAATCTAAACGTATTTAAATATTAGCAATTATAAACATAGAAATAATTAAACATTTTTGATTTAAGATATTAATAAAAATAATTTTTTAATGTGATTTATTGGATGATGTTAACTTTGCAAAATTTATTTCTCCACAGTTATAGATCTACCTAAAAATATATAGACATTCCTCTATCAATGTAAAGTTTAATATAGCTTCGAATCTGAAGGGCTTATAAATTTAAATTAGTTTAGTTAGATATTGCCTATCGAGGGAAAGCAACTTGCCGACGAGATATATATTCAAATTTAAAAAACTTAAACTGAAGATCATAATTAAAATATTTGGGTCTAAAGCGGACACATAGTATATGAGGAGAGAGAGAAAAACTAAATAGATAAGGTGCTATAAGATACTCAAAATTTATCAATCGGACAGATTAAAAAGTATGTTTTGAAATGACTTTTCCCCTTTATTAAGCTTTTACAGAAAGTTTGGCTCATGTTGGGTCTTTTAAAGAAAGATTTACCAATCATCAGGATAAAAAAAATCTTGCAGGCATCTAGTTATTATATTATAACAGAAAAACACTTTTATAATCAAAGTTGGCCATACCGCGAATACTTGTATCTAAGATACAAGTTCCTTTTGTATCTAAGATACAAGTTCCTTTTGTATCTTGTACTCAGTATATTTTTAATAAGATACTAATATCTGTATCTAAGATCCTTTTTTCTGAAAAGAATCTTGTATCATTTTCAGTTTCTTGACAAAAGATACAGATTCTTTTTAATATTCATGCTCAAAATTTCTCATATAAAAGTATAAATATAATTTTCTTCGAGAATCTTGTATTAATTTCCTTATTATTTTCCGCCAGGTTTTAAATATATTGACAACCAAAATTAGCTGGAAAATTTACAACTCATATTAAGGTAGATCGATAAAAAAATAATAATACCAACACAAAATAAATAACGATCATATTTTTTATATAAATGTAACTCGATAGAATATCGTTACCAATTTTATATGATATTTTTTAATTTGTAGGATGATTAACACTCATAGCAGTGAAGAAGAGGGTAGTGGAATTTAAATTTTGGTAATAAGTTCCCGTGAATCAAATCCCAATCTTAAAATTATGGAAATTTTTTTAAAATAAAAATTAAAAAAAGACAATGTACAGGCTTTATGTAAAAACCTGTATAAACAAAAAAATGATATAGGGTTAAACACAAATTAATTTTGTTAAACATATGAAAGTATATTATTTATCTTAAAAATTCAAATTTACAATGTTGCAGTGGCGTAGTTACGGGGGTGGTTTTCGGGTTTGGACCCCTCCCAGAGCAAATTTTTTTTTAGATTATACGTTCAAAAGACTTAAAAGTGCCTTTATATCAAATCAATACCATTAATATTTATATTTTTCTGGTTTTGATATTTATGGATGGATATTATATAAAATTATTATGGGTAGTAATATTATAAAGTCATTGAGAATAATCTACAATAACATATTGTTCGTGCATTAATTTATTATATATTGTCGAAGATGTGATTATTATTTTTAATAAACCCGGTCGAAGGCTTGACAAAAGGGCCGAAGGCCTTTTAAAGGGGGTCTGGGGGCGAAGCCACCAGGATTTTATATGTATGGACCCCCTCTAAGAAAAATTCCTAGCTACGCCAATGCAATGTTGTCTACCTTTAATAACAGCTACCCAAGATGGTATGGGCAAAAATTTAAGAAAATATATTGCTATGATATGTATATAATGAGACTTTTTATCACATCCATATTTTGAGAACTTATGGATTGAGTCGGATGATAAAAAAAAATACTTTCAATTATTAAAACAATCCCTAAATATAGTACCAAAGAATATAATCAAGCTCAAACTATAACACCAATAGATTTGACATCTAATAAAGAAAATGATGATTATTTTTCTATTGGTGAAACAAATGTTGCTGAGTTTAATAATACAAACGGGAGGTTTTAAATTATATTCAGAAAGTGGAAATACATTATAAATGCGAAATTATTATCTTTCAATTAAGGAAATTTTTTATAATTATAAAACAGCAATACCTTCATCAGCTTTAATTGAAAGGCTATTTAGTTTTGGCACAATGTTAAATACGCCGATACGAGAAATGTCTAATGATCAATCATTTTAAAAATTCGATTATCTTATAAAATAATGAATCTATTTTAAATACTCTGATTATTATAATTAACTCAGCATTAAATATTTTATTAAATATTGATTTTCTTATTATATGAGTATGTTCTTCACAATAAATAAAAAAAAAGTGTATTTTATAAACTATTCTAATTTAATTGTTAATGAATTTAAAAGTAACCTCTATTTAAGATACTCTAATTAAGAAAGTATCTTTTATATTGTATCTTTTTGATATTTTGAAAACGATACAAGTATCTGTATCTAAGATTCATTTTTTTCACAAAGAATCTGTATCAGTATCTAGATTGTTTTTCCAGAGGACCTGCCCAACTCTGCTTATAATTAGGCCTACAAAAAAACTAATCGAATCGAATAATACTATTATTCATATTCGATTCGAAAATTCGAATCGAATAATTGCGCTATTCGTATTCGTACGAATAATAAAATCATTATTCGTTTCGATTCGTCGAATATTCGATTCGATTCGAAAATTTTTCTAAAGCTTATAAAATATTTTGCAAAAAATTTTTTACAGATGTTTAAAGATGACACTTTTAAGGATTCTCTAAACTAATTGTCATTACAATATAAAAATTTATTGAAAATAAACGAAATAAAACCCAATGATTTCATATAACGTTAACCAAACAAATTGACCAAAATATCCGATTTTTAGCATTAGAATTGCTTATAAAAAAATATTTAACTATTTCTTCAATCTAATATTAAAATTTTATTAAAATTTTCTAAAAATGTACAATAATCTCATTTTATAAAAATAAAATAATACACAAAAATATTAAATTATAGTAAATCCGAATTTGATAATATCCAATTTTTTAAGCAAAAAGTCTTTCTAATAGTTTCCTTCTTCAAAGACATTCTATTTTTCATTATCATATTTGTTCCTATTGAGAACAACCGCTCACATGAAGCCGAAGATCCCTGAATTGACAATACATCAGTTGCCATTTTCGACAACACAGGAAAACGATCCCCATGCAATCTCCACCATTCTAAGGGACTCTTATTTGAACTGATTCTTATTTCGTTAAGATATGTCTCCAACTCACATACTGATGCGATGTTATTTTGTTTAAAAATTCTATCCATGCTCGTATTGGGTTAACTGATGTTGATTTGATATTATATTTTGTAATCATTATGTACATCTTTAAATTTTTCTAATAGATTTGTCGTGCCTATGTTATATGTAGTTGGTAGTTGCTCAAAAAATTGCATTTTTAGTCTAGGATCCAGTATTGTTGATATTATAGTGTGAATATTTGTTAAGTTATAATAAGTTTCTATTTTCTCAATCGCACTGATAGATATTTGCGAATAATTACGAATATTTATATATAAATAATTTCGAATAATTTCGAATAATACGAATAATTTTCCTCATTATTCATATTCGATTCGAAATTTCGAATCGAATAATTGTGTTATTCGTATTCGTAAAATACGAATCGAATCGAATTGAATCGAATCGAATATCAAATAACAAATAATTCGTTTTAGGCCTACTTATAATTAAATAACTTATTTTATTCGAGTATTGCATAGATTCCAATTTATTTACATTTGGATTAGCTCTAATGTTTTTTTAATCATCAGCTTTTAAAAATATAGTATTGTATAAAAATTAATATTATATCACATCATAATTTTAAATCCTTAGCCTGTCTTCTGACATTTTTGTCATAAGACATTTTTTCACATGACAAATCAACGTGATATATGACAGATTGTTTATATTCTGGTATTAACGAAAATGATTTATATAATTTATTTAATATTGATGCTTATATAATTAAATATTCTTTCTCTATTATATATAGTAATTGAATATTTTATATATAATTAAATATTACTTTATATAAAATTAAATATTACTTTATATATAATTATTGAATATTTTATATATAATTAAATATTACTTTATATAAAATTAAATATTACTATTTTATTTAAAATTAATAAATATTACTTTATATATAATTAGTTATTTTTATATTAGTAGTTAAATATTGCATGAATTTACAAATTTGTTTTTTAATTATATTAAATCTATCAACAAATTTTAAAATATATTTTACTTTTATTTATAATTAAACTTTTATATTATAAATATTGTATGAATTATCATATAAATATTTTATTAATTTATTAAAATTGAATAATATGTTAAAAATGTCTTGTTTGTATTCACCATCTTTTTTTTTTATGTCGCGAATTCAGCTGTGGAAATATTTAGGCCCCGAACCCATTTCTATTAGTAATATTGTTACATCTAAAATATTTTCCACTTATAATATATTGGCGGTCATTTTAATTTGATATCGATAGCATATTCTGGGAGTAAATTATGGGATATAGAATTGATGCCTTCTTAATTATAACATCATTAGTAAAAAAAATACATTAAACTAATTAAAATAATATTTTAGTCCTCTTTTTTTGTAGCAGGTTGGATTTTTTTTATCAAAAAATTATTTAAGAATTATGAAGTAAATATATATAAGGTACATATAATCATTCTAATTGTAGGTTAAAAATTTTATTATTCATCTACTTTTTGCAACAACGTTTGCCCTTTCTTGTATAATGTTTGAATTGATAATATTTGAAATTTTGAATATATTAGATCCCAAGTATTAGCTCTATCATTTATATTAACAATTTATAATTATAGAACAAGGCTTTTTTTATGGCATTTCACTCTTCATATGATGCTTTTTCTCCTCATATTTATTATACCATTTTATATGGCATACAGCTTTATCAACCAAATACATTTTATAAACTCGTTTTTTGTAAAACCATGTGAGAAATTATATGTATGTTTTGTTTAATTCACTATTATAAGATTCAGAAGAAAAAACAAAACTTATGTTATCACTTGTTTCATGGCTTATTTTTATATATTTCTTTTGGAAAATTGGTGACCCATTCCCAATGCTTAGTCCTAAACATGGTTATTATTCTATTTTAGATAACATTGAAAATGCATGTATTTAATATGATAGATGTAGACATATAAATCAAAATGTTATTTAAATGCTAAGTCCTAAATTTTAAAGGAATGTTTACTTATGTTATCAAAACATATTTTAAACTATTAATACATTTTAACAACAGGAGTGTTTTCCATTGAACAAGGAATTAGTAGAGTTGGAGTTATTGGTGTAACAATTATGGCCTTGCTGTCAGGTTTTGGAGCAGTCAATTGTCCCTACACATATATGTCATGCTTTATGAAGTTAAACATTAATTATATGATAAAAATTTTATTATGAATTTTGTTGTTCCTTCTCACTACAGAAATTAAAAACTAGAAATGCCCTATATGACAATTATAGCACTGAAAATTTAATGAAGATTTTTTTATAAAAAAAAGTTATAAGGTTAGATCATAACCTCTACAATTTCTAAGAAAAAATAGTTCTTTTCAATTGTAAATTTTTTAATTGTAATTATAATTAAATTGAAGATTCGATTTTTTTTATATTTAGCCAAAACTTAAGTTCTAACCAGGATTACCAGACTTCCTGATTTTGGCAACACTCCCTTTTTTATGTTTGTTTTGGCTAAAATATGCCATCTATTAATTTATGCTTTCTCCCATTTATTTACAAAATAAGGTTTTCTTGAGTTTTTTTATAGAAATTTAAAATATAAAATTTTAAAAATTTGTCTAACCAGAAACTTAAGGCCAATTTTATTTTTTTAAATCATACATTTAAAATGGCATCTTATTTATGGTTATTTTCATTGTTAAAAGATATTTATCAAATGTAGATACAGATACATTGTCTAAAATAGATCATGATCCCAATACAATGATCAAAATATATCTAGATACAGATATAATTTTTATTACACATCATGGTTTGCCATTGTTTTTGAACAGAAACTCTTACTATGGGAGCACAAATTATGTAAACAACATTTTATATTTTGTTAACATTCAATTCTAAAATATAAAAAAATATTAAACTAAATATCAATACCCCTATTTATATCGTTATTTCAGATATATTTTCATTTAAAATGAGCATTTATAAAAAAATAATTTGCATTAAACTTATAATTTATTTATAAAAAGTCAGTGGAATATCTAAAATTATTTTTAAAATTCTAAATAAATTTATTTGCTTAATTTTTTGCATGGTATGCAAGAATTTATATATATTTTACATGGGAAGAAATATCCTTCACAATCTTGAACTGATATCTGTAGATTTAATAGGAAATAATAATATTTATTTTTAATATATATTTCTTATATCAGTCTTAATATTTGTTAATATATATTTATTTAAATTATATGCTCATATGAAATAAAATGAATTTTGCATACAGATCCCTCTAAAATTGTATTATAGATACAAATACTTTCTATGAAAATGTATGGAGATACAGATATCACCATTTTATATATAGAAACAACTGGCTTCTTTATACTACTTTTGATTTTTAGAAAAGAAGTAACAAAATATTTATTGCATATAATCTTAAACACAATATAATGATAAATCTCTAATTCTGAAAATAAAAATGAGTATTATGCGAATGTGAAATATATTTTATATTAAAATCTAATTATATAAATGATTAGAAGTTTAAAGTATGCCTATTTTAATATTATTTGAAAAAATTTGCAGTTTATACAGTTAATGATTTTTTATTAGTTAAATGAAATGTTCTTTTAGCTTAATTTTTTTTCACTTTTTATTTCATTAATTTAAATTAATAAATTACAGAGATTTAAAGAAAAGTGCAACATCAAATAATTTTAAATGTAATACCTAAATACCTAGAATCTTTCATGGTTAGAGAAAAAAAATAGTTGAAATGCAATTGTATAATATATACTACATTTAATATCAGATATGTAGGAATCCAATATGTGAAAAACATTCAACAAAGCAAAATATGTATTCAGTTAAAAATAAGGAATTATTGAAAAATATCAAATTAATTCTTTAAAACAACAATTTAGTTGAAATAGGTATTCAATAACAAAAGTTACATTCATCTATCACACAATAAAATACTTAGTTATATCTACAGATTGCATTGCAAACTTATTGTCTATTCACCTTCCTGATTCAAAAATACTCAAAAACATCAAATGTAGAAGAACAAAAGCTTCAAAAATAGTTTTGAATATAATTGACCCTGAGACTAAGATATTTTAGTGGATTTAAAGAAAAATCATCCATTTTCTTTATTAACGGAATCCTCAAATAATGGAAATACCAAAACACTTCCAATGCGCTATTCTAATAAAGAAACAGTTTTTAAATAAACTTTAAAAAATAACGTAGAGAAATTGAAGTATTGTCCATAAAAATTTGATTTTAAAACAAAAATTAACAATTTAATTAAAAATATAAAATCTTCTAAAAAAAATTATAAATGATTTATTTTGTATATTGATTTTTAAAATTCTCTTGTGTATATTTTAATATGGTTATATGGCATATTCCAATATAATATTTTAAAATTTGTATAACTATACAAATGTTTTAGGAAGATGCATTTAAAATAAAACTAATATAACGTAGAACTAATATTATTCATCAGATATGTCTAACTTGGTCTGCCTCTCCATTAGAGCCTAGCAAGTTAGCCTAACCTGACTTGGACCTAGAAATTTTAAAAAACTGGCTAGTAGTGTTGTTAAACGGCTCATTTTGAGCCGATTTTTTAAAACGGCTAACTCAATATTTTAGCCAGAAAAATATTGCCTAAGCCTCGAGATTTCGATTATATGCCTAGACCTTTGTTCCTTCTATGAGCAAAATCTTGAGGCTTGCGTAATATTTTTCTAGACGAAATATTGAGTTAGCCGTTTTTAAAAATCGGCTCAAAACGAGCCATTTAACAACACTACTGGCTAGACTTAGGCTTAAATTTTTTGAAAAAATTTGTGTTGAACTGGGTATAAAAAATTATCAAAATATGGTCAAAATAATTAGTAATTTCTATTTTATTTAACCTTACTATTATTTTTCAATTATAAATTTTTGAAAAGCTAGAGCCGTGTGGCCGAAAGATTAGAAAACACCCTCCCCCCCCTCCATACCTTATGAAAAAATGATGGCTACATTTCTATTTATCTTATTCTCTCTTATTAGTACTATTAAGCCCTTTTAATTATATTTATTAATTTAAATGAAGGCCTGTTTCAGCTTTGGATATTCAAGTATTGGAAAAGCGTTTATTACAAACTTACGATATTATCATAAACAAGAAAAAACGGTAAGTTAAACTATTTATATTAAAGTGATATATTTTGAATCTTTAAATAGTTTTGAATATCTTATATTTGTTCAATATAAAATAAATCTTTTCATATAGTTGTTTTTATATTATGTCAAAATGACGATATTAGTAAACCAATTTATATAATAACCAAAAACATTACATTACAATTTTTTAAATGAAACTATATTTACTAATGTATTTTATGTGTTTAAACTTTTCCTGCATACTGACTGTTCTACTGGTTAAAGCAGTCATCACTAATAAAGCATAAAACATTTCAAAATAGTGCTTCCAATTGTTCAGCTATAACTCTAAACTTTACATTATGATTCTTTATATCACGTGGGACTATATCTTTAAGGTATTTTATGTCTTCCATCTTCTTTTTACATCTCCTCGCCCGCTCTCTCGTCCGCATGGGCCTTCTTTTAATGTTAAATGCATTTTTTAAAACTAAGTATTCTTGCCAAAAACCCTTTAGATTGTAAATTTAAAAATTGGCGCCATAAAGGCACCAGGTTAAATGATTTGAAAAAAAATATCCCCTTTATTTAAAAACTATTATCAAATCCATTTTCATCATACCCATTTTATGAAGAACTTTAGTACTACTCTTCCTTAGCATCCCATGGGCAAAAAGGTTTCTGATATTCCCAGCTGTGGCCAATACTGTTTTCACCAGTATGGTTAAATATATCACCGATTTTCCTATTTATTACTGTAAAATAATGTCGATACCAAGTTTGCACAACTATACGTGTAAAACAGGCTCATGCAAATGTGGGAGCGGAAGGTGCACCAACTCTGGGCTGCCAAAATTAGAATATTTTAAAAGCTGCTAAATTTCTTTTTTAAGTGAAATTTCTTTTTTAAAAGGTATAAATTCACGAATCCCATTTTAAAAATGATGGAGACCTATTTCATTTCTTAAAGTTTGGGTTAATTGGAGGGTTTTAAATGGCCGCCGAACGATTGCCAAAAGTTTTCACACGGTTAGAAACATAACATACCGTTGAAAATAAATAAGATTGTTCACCCAATGTGACTATTCATGCTAAACCTGAATATTTTTCAGGATATAAATATATAAATCTTATTAAACTTTAAATCCTTGGCGGATGTTGAAAAATCTCGGAACAAATTAGATTTTTATCTTTAGGGTATCATTTTACCTATGTTTGATATGATCTTTCGTGCTGATCGTTTACAAGATCTACGACGATATTACAAAAATGAGGTGGCTATGTTGGTACTGGTGCTTTGGGTAGGATATTTCTTTCAAATATCTTATTACGTCATATGTGAGGCAATAATAATATTCTATCACCCTTTGCAACTGTCAAATTTCCAATCGTCCTTGCGTAAGGAAGCACGATCCATGGTGATGACATCTCTTCAGTGAATGGATATAATATTTTCACTTATTAATGACAGAACACGCATTACGTTGATAGTTTATTGAAAGATACCATGCAAAATAATGTCATTCTTGGTTGGAAAGTATACTATTATCCCTTTCCTTATGTTTTTACACTATTTTTTAATTAATTTTTCTATTATATATCAAAGCAGCTTTTTGCTATGTACTTTTATATGAATTAATATTTAATATCACATATTTTTCTTTTATACAACAAATCACTTCTTTATAAATATATATATATTTTATAATATTATACCTAAATTTTTTGCGTTTGTTTTTGATATAAAATTTAACAATCTTTTTTTTCATTACCATTAGTCATTTGTCATCTTTTTTTACTAATTATCGATCTTGATTTATTTTCTTATCACAATAATCTGCGATTCATGGCCATAAATGATCACCACTTTGTTTTTTATGGCCATTTATGAATCTGCACATCATTTATGGATCACCACTATTTGTGACGGGCTAGCCAATTCGTGTTATATAAACTAATTTATCATATTAAAAAATGTTTATTTGTTTAATCGTTTCTTAGAATAGCATTTGAAAAATCTAAACGAAGTTATGGTTACAATTCCCCACTTCAACCTGGTTTATGGACCAAAATAAAAAATGTCACCTCTTCAATGCAGCCTGGAAATGGTTTATTATATACCCTTCCCCATTTAAAAAAACATTTTTTAATTTGAAAAGAAATCAAAAAGTTGCAAAGTGATATTGTTCCATTGGAAGATCTCACAAATCATTTATTCTTAGAAATCGTTGATCTAAAAAATCAGCTACACCGAACGGAATACTCCACAACTTTAAAAGGGAAATATTTCAATATATTGGGTTATTTTTTCTCCATATATTGCATGTGGAAAATCATTATGGTAATTAACAATGCCTCTTTTTTTATCGAGTATAAATGGGTATATTTTTGTTTAATACAGCACAATGGCATCGTTATTTAATTGAACACACTTAGAATATTTTTTATTTTTCAGCAGAAGGTTTTATATAACAAGCATGTCACACCCAGGGTGGGCAAATTTTCAAAAAAAATGTATTCGAAATAAATATAAATACACTTCAGAAAAAAGTATTTGAATATAAATAAACATTTAAAAAAATATATTTTAAATATAAATACAAAAAATTTTTAAATAAATACTAGTGAAAGTCAACGGTCCGGTCCTCTCGATCTTAGACCGGGACCGGACAGAACTTTTTTGAGGACCTTGGTTCGGACCGGTCTTTTTATTTTTTACGGTCAGGACTGCGGTCTGGACCGGTCTTTTATTGTTATTTAAGTTTGCTTTACTATTCAATTAATATAATTTTTTTGTATATTTTATTATATGATATTTTTCTAGATGAGTTATTTTAGATTTTGTTAATTTTTATTTACAATATGAAAACCATAAGTTTGTCCAAGAAACATTTTACTTATAGTCCCCATTTCATAAAAAACATAGAGTATGTGTTCACTGCAGTACCAAATTTAATGTATCGTCAGCAACAAGTAACAAAATAATTGTTTATAATTTTTTAAGCAATAAATTAATCAAAATAATATTATTATTAAAATATTTTGGTTATTATTTATAGTTCTATTTTGTCTTAAGAAACTGTCTGAATAATTCATTGTCAAAATAATTTAACCTTATTCTTAATAAAATAATTAAGTACCTTAAGCAGACATCTGATAAAACATAAAATATATACTTCTAATGATGAAAATATTTCAGAAACACAATCTACTCTTAATTTTAATATGCCCTCCACAAGCACAAAATCACTTTCTTCAATACCATTGTATAAATTTTATTGTAAATATAATACTCTTATATTTAATAAAATGATAAAACAAATTAAATTAAGTTGAAAAAATGTGTTTTTTAAACAAATAAAAAGACCGGTCCTGGACCGGTCTTTTTATTTAGGACCACGATCTGGATCGATTTTTTTATTAAGGACCATGGTCCGGTCCGATGGTATCGGTCCAGTCCTAACCGTGATCTTCACTAATAAATACTAAATAGCTACAAAAAAAATTCGAATTACATATAATAATAAAAAATTTTACATACAAATTTTATTAACCATTTTCTAAAAGTCAAATAATTATGTGAATAACTTATCTTATCGAAAAATTTGCAGTTATTTTAGATTTACGATTTTGGCAAGGCTCTTCCAGTAATCAATAAAAGGTTCATGGAAATTATTTACTTCAAAAATAATTATTTGTCAATTTTAATAAAAATATTAAACAGATCTTGATTTTTTACTCGAATCACATTTATTATTTAAATAAAGAAATTGTGGATTTTATATTTTTAATTCAATTTATATATAAAATAAAAAAAATAAAGTATATGTATTTATTTTAAATCTTAATAAATACAAGATACTTTTTATTCTTTACTATTTAAAACACAAATATTAAGTACTCTAAATTATTTAAATAAAATACCAAAATATTTGTATTTAGTATTTTAAATACAAGTATTCGCCATAATGCCGAACCCTGATAGACCCGGGTTTATTTTATTACTCATAACGATGATAAACTATATATATTTTTTAGTCATTCCTTAATATAATCCTGAATCGTGTTGGGAAAGTAGATCCGGTCACCAAGGCTATTCAATTTTGTGTTGATTATTTCGGACTTCATTTTGATGTAAATTAATGCTATTTATGACAATATCATTATATACATGTTTTTTGAATCGGTAACAGGCGCAATTCTGGTCTCAACACATATCATTTGCTTTGATAGGAATAATCATCATAACTTCGTTTAGAGGCCTTCTAATAAATCTGACCAAATTTTTCTATGCATTATCTAGTAATAAATCATCTAATCTGATCGTCCTAGCTTTAGCTCAAATTATGGTAATATATATTTTTAGTTAATCCCGCTTCATTGATACTTATTTTTTAAATTATTAAAAATTTTAATTTAAGAAATAATCTTATAAAAATAATTTTTTTTCATTATATTATAAAATATATAAACACAATTCAATATAAATTATTAAAATACTAAAATATGTTAACTATTCAAAATTATCACCCTATTATGCTAAAATACATTATTTTTGCCGAGCTATATTAAAATTGTGTAAATTCAATATAAATTATTAAAATATATATGATCTAAAATATTTTGCCTATTCAAAATTATCACCCTATCATGTGAATTATTTTTGTCAAACTCTATTAAAATTGTATAACATCTATCTTTGCCTTTATACTTGCAGGCTGCTATTCTGTGGCATTGAAATAATAAGATGGTGCACATTCTGAGATATCGATTCTATATTAGCTTTATTTATTCTAAAGTTTTCTAGGTCATTCATTTCCTTTTTTTCACAAGCTAACGGTAACGTGTTTATTTTTTGAAGTAATTTTTGCACTAAGTAAATCGAACAATTTGAGGATAGAATATTTTAGAGACCGTCCTGGCACTAAGCCGTATTTTAATACATCTGGTGGCCCAGGAAAAAATTATTATTAAAATACCCGGGCCAGGACGAATATTTTAAAACCAAATATTTCAAATCGTCATTTAACGATAAAAATTAAAATAAATATAATATATTTCAAAAAAATCCGGACTGGGTCGTGCAAATAATACCTCTGTATATCTCTGGAATATATTAAACTAGACGTGCCTATATTATGCATTATAAGTAAAGTCATTATCCCCTGCTTATTTTTTTAGAATAATTATATTAGATTTGTTTTATATCAATTTGCATATTAATAAGGGCATGTATTTGATTTCAACAGTATTATTGATGAGAATGAACATGCCACCCCAATACAGATCGATAATAACGCAAGTTCTAGGAGAATTACAGTTTAATTTTTATCATAGATGGTTTGATGTAATATTCTTACTGAGCGCTTTATCGAGTATAGCTTTCCTTTATGTGGCTCACAAACGAATATCTTTGGCTTAACTCAAAATATACATTCGGGTGATTTAAATTAATTATTTTGCAATATTATGTGATGAATCATGATGGATATTGTTATACCAAACTTTATTATACATTTAGCAAGCATTATTGATATAAAATCATTTGTATTAATATATTTATAATTTTATTCCATTCTAAAATAAATAAGTTGTATATTTAATTATTTTTTTTTATAAATATTTTAGGGTAAAATACAAGTCCTTAAAAAAAAATTTATTTAAAAAAAACGGTAAAACCATAAGAATATATTGTATAAATATTTTTTAAACATATTTTTATTTGTATCTATAATAAATAATTATTTTAAATACATATTTATATATCTTATAAAATTCACTGATAAATATGATATAACGTTCTAACGGATATACAACGATTAGAGTTCGACAAATTTGAATCATCGTTAGCGTATTCAGAATTATGCTCGTTCAATAGAGTATAATATATAATTAATTCGGGAGTGTCCATGATAAATCCATTGTCCGAGAATTTTCCACCTATTTTTAATATATTTTTATACGATGTTTTATCGCGGTTAAATATTTGGTTGCATTGAGGGCTTTTAACGATTTCAAGCCACACATAAAATGCCGGATTTTGAGTCGATATATGTATAGTAAATTTATTTTTGACTTTGCTAACTTTGACGATCTTAAAATTATATCAATATAATAAAAAAAATTAAATAAGTTATACCGATATTTTTGGATCATTTAATTTCCAAGTTTTAGGATAATTTAAAAACAATCTTTGTTGACTGAGTATTCCTGGTTTTCCTGGATTGTAAATATATGCGTGAAAGTAAAACTGGCTGAGATTTAAATAATCACGAAAATCACCCAAGTTTTGATTTAAAACGACCTGGCTCCCAAATTTCACCTTATAATTTGAATTAATAAAATATACTTAATATTAAAATAAAACAGATACATCAATAACACTTTTATTAGCCGAATTCGGACATGCTAAGGTATCGTCGGCAGATACAACCGATATTTATTTTTTCTAAATAAATAATGCATAGGCAGTGAGCTCGACTTAATTTTTATTATAACTGTGCCGATCCATATATATTTCACCTATTCATTATTTCACAATATAGGTTCAAAACAAAACCGATCCCATATTTATAATGATTTTTTATCATCACCCTTTGAACCAAATATAATTTTAAAAAATCTATATTTTACAATTATGATTAAATTTTTTTTTTTAAATATTAAATTCATTATTCCTCCAACTGAAAATAAGTTCCGTAGCAAAATTGTCATATCTTTTGTGAAAATTTTTCATTGCCATATTAAAAATATTCCTTTTTTTCAAGTATAAATAATAAAATGGGCAAGTTATTATTTTAAAAAAATTTCGAATCGTTTTATTTGTATAAATATAAAATCTTTTGAAATATAATAATGTAAAATAATAACAAAAAACAATCGGATCGGGTTTTTGCAGGTATCGACCCGATCCGATATTTTTCAAAACGTTAAATATTGGTACTGATGCGATATTTGTCAGCACAGTCCTAATTTTTATTCAGAAAAGCAGCCTGGCACCAATTTTTCATTTCACGATTTTGATATGTCATATTTTTAAAATACTTTTAAAAGTTATACTTATTTCTATTTTTTAAATCTAAAAATCCCTATTTAGAACTAAAAAAAGAAGGAAAAACAATTTTATTATAATAATTTTAATAAATATTAAACTATTTTTATAAAATTTTTCATAATATCAGCAATAACATTTTTTTCTTCTATTCAAAGCAATTTATTTTTTAAATCATGGGGTAAGTTATTTTTTTAACAAGATATTAAGTTATTTATAGTATATTTGAGACAAAACAACTAGAAGAAAGTTAAAATTTGAACTAAGGTGAAATATTTTATGCAACGTTTACAAATTTTTATCGAATGAGAATATTAGTTTTTTACAGGTAATAAGGTAGGGGTTAGGATTTTAGTATAATAAAAAAAAGTTTATACTCCAGATAATGATATATTCTTTTGATAGGCTATTGTCAAATTTTGAACGTTCCTAAGCGTTACATAAAGATTATATTTATCTTTAGGGGGTTCGTCGTCACATATGACTGTGTAAACTATCTTAATTTCGTCAATATTTTGGTTGGAGTCAAAATTCTGACTAATCATCTCCTTTTGAGTCACGTTTTCAAAATGAATGGTAAGCAGAATGTGCGAAAAAAATGATTTTGCGAAATGATGTAATATTTTGCTTTTTCCTCCATATTCTAAAATATTTAAAATAATGGTCTATTTATATAATTATCCACTAACGCTATTTTCATACACTTATATTAAACTCTAAGATGTGTTAATTATTCTATATATTGATAAATTTAAAAATACGTGTGCATGTGAGGTCATCTTTGCTCATTTTTTCACACTGCGTATAAAAGGCTATATCCGCATCTTTTAAAACAGCTGATTTATATTTTTGCCGTTTGTATAATCAAAGAAAATTACAGATTTTATGTACTAAATATTAATTAGTTTGATATTTAATAAGGTATTCAGAAATAATATACTTAATAAATTGAAACATACATGAATTATTTTTATACGATAATTTTACATTTACTGATTAAAAATTCCAAAAATTAAGAATAATGCCAGTTTCAAACAGCGGTTTCTGAAAATTTTCTTAAATTTTAATGCAGCGTTTAAAAAGCTGTGTTAATTTGGTTGCCAGCTTTTAAAATTGCAGACTTTTCGAGCGTTTTAAATGCAGATTTAAAAAATGAGTCGGGAAAAGCTATAATACTAAACCACTATTTTAATATATAAGCAAAAACTAAAGGATAACCTATTGATGACCAAGTAGGCGCTACCCAAACATCATTTAATTGCCAATACAATGCTCCCATATTAAGACCTAACCCTGTTTCGTCTAAATCTCTATTCCTCCTGTAAAATTCAGTTTGTGTTTTAATAGCCGTAGCTTGATTGATCTATAAAAGATGAAAATTGCGTTTGGGTTATGTAGATACTGAATTGATAAGAATTGCAATTAAAGAATGTTGTTAAAATGTCTATTTTAAAAATCATATTTTCTTATTTCAAGGTTTAAAAACTTTTAAGCTTTAAAATTTTAAGAAAACTAATGATAGTTTTAAAAATTTTAAGAATATGTTTTAGCCATATGACTATTTTTCCCAAAAAGATTTATATTTTGTTTTTTAATTAATTTTTTTGAAGTTAACTTAAATTAAAATTAGCTTTTTGAAATAAATTCATAATATATATTATGATATATAACTTGGGAGAGATACGTAAATTTATCAAAATAATCCGAAGATTTGCTATCATCGATGACTCTGTTGTCTTTAATCGTATAATTGGGATTCCTAAAGTGTATCAAAATTTGGTCAAGCATCTGGAAATTTCCAAAAGAGTGATGTTGCCTAAAATATAATTTTTTTAAATAAAATATTTAAAAACAATTCATTTTTAATGATTTAGTTTATCCAAACATATTTCCCCTAACTGATATGGTTAATTTTTATAAGTTACAATAATTCATGTTTTTTTCTCATATACTTAATGCTAATTTTTAAAATTGATTTTAAGATTTAGATCTACATGTTTTATAAAAACAAAAGTGAAATGCATATTTCTTTAAAAAAAATTAATCCAATCCTTCATACCTATAGTTGGCAAAATCACTTCCAAAAGTTAAATCTTTTGATGGATTTTTCGTTACTGCTAATAAAGATGAATAAGAAGGCCAAGCCTGATACCCGTATTCTGAGACAAATCTAGCTTTAGGATACACATTCCAATTCCATAAATCACCAGTATAACTGTAATGATGAACTTTAAAAAATAATAAATTAAAATGATTCTATGACCACAACAACTTTAAATTGTAAATTTAAATCCTTACTTTAATCAAAACAAAATATTAAAATTATATTTTTTAAATGTAAGAAAATATTAACTATCTCCAAAGCGTAAGTCTCCGGGGTTTGATGACACGCTATTATTGATGGAGGATGTCTCCAAGTCACCATTGGAAGGAGAAGATAACACTTGTGGAAATTGATTTTCGGTATCATGCCCGAAATCCATTATGGATTTGCATGTTTCGTACACAGTTTTGTAATACAAATTTTTATAATCCTCGATTAAGGCGGACATTGGTCTATTATAAAGGGGGAACCTTTGAGAAATTAACATATATGTAATCGGTACCAAATATATATAACACTTGTAAAGAATACATTACCAAGATATTTAGAATTATTAATTATATCATAAAAGAGACCAACTTGATTGTAATTTGATTAAGATTGAAAAATTTTTTCTTTCTACTTAAACAGGCAGTAATAAAAATTTAATGGTAAATTACAATAAAATGTGTACCTTTTGGGGTGTGGTTACTGAATATAACCTTTTTATAATTAAAAGATGTTTAAATGTCTTTGATAAACTTTATAATTAAATTAAACAATATAAAATTCTATAACTACAAAACACCACAAGGAGACGGATGCATATATATATATATATATATAGCCAATTTTAGAAAATTAAAGCCACATAGCGCTTAATTTAAAGCATTTTTCTTTTTTCAAAATGTATTTTAAATGGGTCGTATTTTTCACATATTATTTCTAAAAGTACTTAGTAGGGCCACATTTAATTTGATTTAAATTTTGATTGTATTTTTTTTAAATATAATTTAGAATGTTTTCAAATTTAAATGTAGTAAAAAATCCAATTTATTAAATGTCAAAATTTTCATTTATTGTAAAAAGTCGCATATTGCAGATTAATTAGGAGATCTAAAAATTAAAATGATATATATAAATATTTTTAGTTATACCAGCCACTAGTCAAAGCTTGTTCATTTTCGTTGTTAGCGCTCCAAACTACCACACATGGGTGATGTTGCAATCTACCAGCCTAAAAGTAGTAACATCATAATTAATGACGAAGAGAATGAAGAAATCACAAAAATTCTGATCTTATGTAATTTAATTAATAAAATTTTTAAAAAATTTAATCTATAATAATAAACTAACCTAATTAATTTACAAATTGTTATATCTTTTATCTCCAGATTTCTAAGTCACATAATGTACTTTTACTGTAAGTGAAGTGGAATAATATTTAATTAAAACTTCGATATTATAATAAAAATATTTCTCAAAGTCATGATACATTTTAATTACCTGAAAAGAAATCTCGTTCTTGACGCTTAGCAAAAATTCTGGATCGGCTGGGTACAAGGCCACGGCAAACATGGCATCTTGCCATATCATTATACCCAATCGGTCAGCTAGCTCATAAAAATAGTCCGATTCGTATACGCCTTGATAGGCATAAAATAAAATATTTATTTCATTCATTTCTTATGCCCGATGATTAAAAATTAATATAAAACTATTTTTTAAGACTAACTATAAAAAAGATTCAAAAAAAAATTAAGGATTAAATCGGAATGACATAAATTTTAATTGGATAAACGAATACAGCGAATTTAAAAAATCGGCTCTAGATCAAATTTAAAAAATACAGGTCATGCCGGGCTTGGGTCTAAGAAATCAAATTCGAATCTTATTAATGCATTTTCTTTAGAATTTAATTTAAATGTATTTAATCGTTTTTTTGTTTACCTCCACCCCATATTCTCAACATATTCATGTTAGCATCTTTTACCAAGGTTAACAAATGGTGAATGTATTCCTTAGTAATTGCAGATTTTATCAAGGATGCCGGAATCCAATTGGAACCCTTACAATATATAGGTCTGCCATTTACCTCAAAGTAAAAAGTCTTACCTATTTATTTTAAAAATAATAAAGAAATAAATAATATTTTTAATATAGATAAAGCTGTGCAAATATTCGTACGTTAAATTATAAACACCTCAAAATATTTGGAATAATTACAAAGATAGTTTTAAAATTTTGAGTTAGATTTATTTAGTGAAAAAAAAATATTTAAGCTTTCGAGACTTTTATTACAGGGATGTGAGAACCCTTCGACAAAGGTCCGGGATCAGAGATAAAATTTTAAAAATGAGTTCGAATTAAGGTATAAAAATTATTGACTCAATATTAATAAAATAATACAATTAATTTTATTTTTTATTCCTTTCCTATAATTTATTAGCCAAAAATTTTTAAATTAGTTTTCGTGAAATCTGAAATGTATTTCAAAAATCACAATTGCTCGTATATTAAATTTAAATTGAATATTTAGAAAAATTTATTTTATGGATTGTATGTTTTTGTGCAATTTATTTCTATTACAAGCCTTTTAAATTAATTTATAATAAATTTTACCTAAGGAGACAAAAAACTAAATATTTTGAAAAATGACTACTAAAAATTTTTTGTTAATTTTTTATGAATTAATTAATTTATAAAATTTATCATTTTAAAATTTTTTTTTTCGATATTAAACTGAGCCCTCAACTTTCTAACAACCCTGCTATATTATGTTCCTCAGCATGTATTATTTAAAATTAAAAGTTTAAATTATTCTGAAATAAGGCTATCTGCCCTTAGAGACCTATTTACGGACTCGAAGGATAGATTTTATATTTATAAGTGGATGAGTCACTTTCTAATTCATTTATGAAAGAGATTTTCAGTTTATATCATTTTTTTAATTTCAAAATCTAGGTAGAATGTTTTTTAAAATAATTTGATTGATTGTTTATTTATACATTCTTTTAAAAAATAATATAAAAGAATGTATATTTCAGCTAAAATATTTCTATAAATTTTAATTTAATTCTTATTAAATTTTTCAGAGACCTGCAGAGGTACCATTTGCATATCCCAGCCATGATTTTTTTTAAAAAAATGAATTATCGGCCTCGCCCGGATCTTTTTTTAAAATAAATTATCAGCCTGGCCCGGTCCAGGTTTTATATTTTCAGGCCCGGCCCACCTGAATTTTTTTTTAAATATATTCTATTTATTTTTAATTTTTAAAGATAATAATGGCGATTTAAAATATTATGTTTTAAAATTTACTGCCCGGCCGGGTTGTTTTTTAAAAAATATACGGTCCTGTCCGGGGGGTCAGGTCAAGTCTCTGAAATTTTTCTTTCTTTAAACCCGTTACTAGTTTTATTAAAATTATCCGGGCCGTGCAAATGATACCCCTGCAGGTCTTTATATATATAGTAATCCTAATCCGCACCAGACCTTGGCCCATATTAAAAAACAATAAAAATCAGCAGATGCTTATGAATGCTCTGCATTTTTAGTAGCTATAAGGTATAAACTTGTGGCTGACCAATCGGCCCGATCCTGTATAAATAGGATTTACCCTAGACATTAACAAATAGCTGGTTTATCATTTTTTTTCAAACTTAGCCAATCGATTTTTGATAAACTCCATTTAATCATTATATTATAATAAACGATGTATATACTATAATATCAAAAACATACCCTGGGATGCATCCTTGTTATTAACCGCCTTTTGAACCAATTTAAGATTACGAAAACCTATGTCTTTAATTTGGATTTGAAAAGGTTTATCGTCGGGGAAATAAGTGACAATCACGGGATACAAGGGCTGAGAGCCATGCCCATTTGGCCACCAAAGTGATATTTGTTCCTTCCGATTGATTATATAATAAACAAAAATAAAATGGTGGATCAAAATAGGGGCATGATTGATTGTTATTTTAAAAAAGATATTCAATTGATTTAAAAAATTAAAAATCTGGTTTGCAAGATGATATATATTATTAATGCTGAGTTTCTTTTTAAGAAAAAGTAATTTTTTTCAAAAATGTGATGTAATGTTACTTACTGTTTGTTATGTATTGAATTGTTTAATTTGTTATTTTTGTATTTATGAGAGGTAGTTCTGGTGTTCGTATTTTATATTGTACTTTTATTACAGTTTTACCTAATAGTCGTATAAGTTCCTGTATAACTTTTAAGTTTTAGAATGCAATTTGTTAATCCAGGACGATTAAATTTATTTTTCCAATATTTCGTTTATTATGCCACCCCAGCTTCAGTATCTAATTCCATTCTGATATCGCTGTTGTTTATTTTGATATCCACCCGAATTTCGGGATTATATTCATTTGTTGTATTATTTAAAAAATTCACTATTTCTTTTCTACAGACTATAGTAATGTGCCTATTTGTTGCATTTATAACTAGTAGCATTCTTGGAAAGACAATTTTCCTTTCTATGGTTTCCGCAGCAGGAGTGGCAGGGATTTGGTTTTTTATAACACGTATTATAATTATTATTATATGATTTTGATTGTTTATCATTATCATTATTAACTTTTTAAATTATTTTTATATTAACATGTTTCTCTTCTAACTGATCAATTTTAGTTTCATCATTTTGTATTCTTTATAGTCAGTAGCTATTTGAGCCTTATTCATGTCTATATCATCTTCGGATAATAATCTTTGTAAAAATTTTAGAATGTTTTTATTCCGAATAAGAATTTATCTCTTAATGCAGTATTCAAAAATTCCCCAATTACAATTCGTTGCTAATTTTCAAAGATTTTTCCTCATTTTTTTGATTATATTCATAAAAATTATATCTCTCTACAATTATATTACCAATTATCAGGTTCGTATCCTGTCGACTGCACCATTCTTGGAATGTAATGTTAAGAAGTGATTCTTGAAATATAATGTTAAAAATAATTCATGAAATATCTTTTTATTTTATTCGTTATCATATCCCTTTTCTTTTACAATTCAAATTCATATAATAAATATAATAATGAAATTAAACATTTTACAAAAATAATAAAATAAACAATTCAATATATAACACTTATTTTCAGGTCCGTGAAGTTGGCCCCACAATTTTTAATTTTCAATGGTTTATCAGTTGGTGTGATTAGTACCCGATTTGTACCGTTTTCAGTTCGATTTGTACCATCACCGTTTTTGAGATATTCAAAGAACATAATGGGGGGCCAACTTCACGACAGCCCCCCAACTTTTGAACTTAAAAATAAAAAGTGAATAGGTCGATAAAGAATGATTTGTACCGTTTTCAGTTCGATTTGTACCATCACCGTTTTCCACCTATTGACCGTTGAAAATATGGCGCCAAAAATAAACACTCAAAATTTTTTTTGGTAGAGAATTTTTTTCTCTTCCTAATGATGCCTCAAATTAAGTTTTATCTTCATTATTTATTTCGGAAAACCTTATATTATAGCGTGAAGTTAGCCCCCCCCCCGATATTCAAAATTTGAGATTTTTCAAATTTATAAAACGGGATTGATTTATACCCGATTTGTACCGTTTCAAACTCGATTTGTACTATTACCGTTTTCCAGCTATTGACCGTTAAAGATATGACGCCAAAAATAAAAAACACTCAACATTTACTTTTTTTTAATTTTTTAACGTACAACGGTAGAGAATTTTTTTCTCTTCCTAATGATGCCTCAAATTAAGCTTTATCTTTATTATTTATTTCGGAAATCAAATTTTAAACCTTATATTATAGCGTGAAGTTAGCCCCCCCCGATATTCAAAATTTGAGATTTCCAAATTTTTAAAACGGGATTGATTTGTACCCGATTTGTACCGTTTCAAACTCGATTTGTACTATTACCGTTTTCCAGCTATTGACCGTTAAAGATATGGCGCCAAAAATAAAAAACACTCATTCCGAAATAAATAATGAAGATAAAGCTTAATTTGAGGCATCATTAGGAAGAGAAAAAAATTCTCTACCGTTGTACGTTAAAAACTTTTTTAAAAAATAAATTTTGAGTGTTTTTTATTTTTGGCGCCATATTTTTAACGATCAATAGCTGGAAAACGGTAATAGTACAAATCGAGTTTGAAACGGTACAAATCGGGTACAAATCAATCCCGTTTTAAAAATTTGAAAAATCTCAAATTTTGAATATCGGGGGGGGGGCTAACTTCACGCTATAATATAAGGTTTAAAATTTGATTGCATCATTAAGAAGAGAAAAAAATTCTCTACCGTTGTACGTTAAAAAACTTTAAAAAAATTTTTTTGAATGTTTTTTATTTTTGGCGCCATATTTTCAACGGTCAATAGCTGGAAAACGGTTATGGTACAAATCGTACTGAAAACGGTACAAATCATTCTCTATCGACCTATTCAATTTTTATTTTAAGTTCAAAAGTTTGGGGGCTGTCGTGAAGTTGCCCCCCCCCCATTTTGTTCTTTGAATATCTCAAAAACGGTGATGGTACAAATCGAACTGAAAACGGTACAAATCGGGTACTAATCACACCAACTGATAAACCATTGAAAATCAAAAATTGTGGGGCCAACTTCACGGACCTCTTATTTTCTCGTTATTTTTAAAATTCTATGGATATAGTGTGATTTATTATCCCATATACCATATATACATAGGCATAGCCAAAATTTTGCTAAGGGGCACCATTAGGTGGGGATTTCCCTAATTTTTATATCATATATTATGCCCATTACAGTAAAAATAATTTATTTAATTACCCGGTTCAATAGAAACTTTAGAACGCATTCGGGAACATTGCAGCTGTAATTTTGGTTGACATCCGTCAAATTAGGCATACTTATTTGAACTTTAACATTATTTGGAGTGGTTAAATCAGGAGCCATAAAAAATCTTATATACACCATTATCTCCCATGCCTCATCTAGCGTAAACAAGTTAATAAATAAAATAGTAAAAGATTAAGATTGACAAGATTATAGAGGGGAAAAAAGAGGCAGGTTTCATAGTTTTTTAGAGATGCCTATAACAAGAAAACTAGATTTTCAAAACGCCAACATCTAGAGAATCAGCATTAAAAAATTTTTAAAATACTTATTTAAATAGTAATTTAATCGGAGTTTGAAAAAAAAAATAGATTTTAAAAAAAAATATTTTGAGGAATCACAAAATTATTTTTTGAAAGATCAAAATATTTTTTTAAAATATTTGTTATTTCATGAAAGATATTTTATGCAAGATTCTATAATGAATAGCGAATATTTCGTATAAGATATTATGTGCAATTAGATAACGCGGTATTATACATTAGTCAATTTTATATTTACATATGATGCAATGTAAAAAAAAATTATATCACTAAATAGATACTTAATAAAATAAATAATTGAATATCGTTGTAGTATCACATAAGACTCCATATGCGCCCCTCCCCCCCAATAAAGCACAAGTGAGTTCCAAAACAAAATATAATATTTACTTTTTCTTCAGTAATAGTTTTAAAAATTTTCGAATTCAATTTTTTTTATGTGGTAAATTATTTATCGATAATTTTTTAATTACATAATATTTAAAAAAATTATTTCCTGATTCTATTAAATAATAGGAATATTAAGTATTTTAAATATTATTTTAATTTGGGTTAAAAAAAATATAAAAAAAATAATTAAATTTTGGTTTGATTAGAAAATGTGTCTCACCTGACTATATACGAAGCTTTTTACAAATAAAACGTAAATTGCATACAAATTTTATATTTTTTAAAATAGGGGTCTGCGAAGGTGTGTCGTTTTTAATGCCATTAATTATAAAATAATATCCTTTTGGTCAGACTATTTTTTTTAAAGATTGTCTGCTTTATTTATAATAGGATACAAAAATACATTATGCATTCTTAGTCTTGTTTCAGTCACCATTCCCCCAAAACCTGTTTCCACAAAATTTACCATGTTTTTTAAATGGGTATATTTATTATTAAGAAGAAAATAACAGGATTCGTTGGAATATTTATTAAAATTTATCTTGGTGATATTATTATATAAATAAATAATATAGTAAACTTTATACTTGCATAATTTGTGTAAATATAGACATCCTGCATAAATACTGAGTCGTAATACATAATTCCGATATTTTTCCTTATATCAAAAAAATAAATTTTAAAAAAATTAATTATATTTTTAAAAATCAGATTTTTAGGTTACGATTAAATCTTTAAATATAATATTTTTTAATTGCTAGATAATATCATACTAAATAAAGTAGTTTTAAAATTGTATGCCAGAAAATATAAGAGAACAAAGGATAATATAATAAGTTTAAAAATGTAAGATTTGAAACATCCTTGTTAACTGCGTGGATCTAATTTTTTCACCGGTATTATTTCTCTAATTCATTTTTTTTTTAAATTAAATGGCCAGTGGGGTTTGGGAACTTAAAAATACTTATTAACCCTTTTATGTAGAATCTTTTAATTCAATAAAAATATATTTAATATAGGGATGTACCGATATTTTATATCGGATCGGATCGGGCCGATATTTCGCTCATTTTAAAATATCGGTTATCGGCAAATATTATAAAATTTTCCGATCCGATATAAAATGGCGCTTTTAACAAAATTTAAAAAAAATTATATCTAAAAAACCATTTATTTTTATAAATAAAATCGAAATACATTTTTATGTTTAATTTTTTTAATAGAAATAATTAGTTAATAAACATTCTGCAATATAGTTATTTTTTTTCGCATTCTGTTTAAAAAAGTGTTCATTAATCTCTTCAGTATCTGTTTTTAGTGATGCTAGTGATATTAACAGTCCCCATCACCGCCGACATATCTCTGATATAAAAAGAAATCTTCGATATATTAATTTTAAATATTAATTTCAAATTTCATAATATATTTTTTTATTACTAATTATGTAAATAGATTAATGTTATTACTTATTATATAAATAATAGCAATTGAATTGAATATAAACTACTGACCATTATAATATATTTAAATGACATATGTTATGTTATAGTAAAATTATAGATGTTGTACTAATAAAAAGTATATTAAAAATTAAAACCGGTATCTTTGCAGAATACAAAATTAGATATGATATCGGATCGGTTATCGGCCGATATCAATTTAATATCTAAAATATCGGATCGGATCGGCCTCCAAAAAGTGGTATCGGTACACCCCTAATTTAATAATTAACTCTAGAACCAAATACACCCTCCCCCATCCCATCCCCCGCTTAAATTCGCTTTACAGGTCTTGCAAGCTGTAAATTTTGTTAATTTCCGGTTTTTGTAAAAATAGTATCATATTAGACATAGGGATTTATCCATCATGAAAATTTATTTGAAATATTTTGAGAATGGTAAAAAAAATTTAAAAAATTATTTTAAAAAAATCATAAGAGAAAATATGGAATTTACAAAAGATGTCCACTTTTTTAATGTAACCCCTTGTTTATATTTCACATGATTTCGAAAGAATATTTAAAAAATTTTACTTATTCTTAGATAATTTTTAAATCGTAAAATATGTTTTAAATACGTATGTTGTCCCTTTAATATAGATCATTTAACAATTTTGTCATTTCGTTGATTTCTTATCAGGTCAATTCAGCGAAACTTTTATCACGAAACACTATCCAGAATGTTGTTTATCGCAAGGAATTTTATAGCGAAGGTAATATCGGGAAACATTTATAGCGAAGAGAATATCACCTTAACCCTTTAGAGCGAATACATTTAAGCATAACTGTTAGCGATCCCTTTATAGAGAATTTTCTAACGTGAATGTATTTGCGCGAAGTCATTATAGAGAACTACCGGAAGCAATAAATATATTGCGTATGCATTTATTTAAAGGAAAACAAAATATTCAAGATTAATTTACCGACCAAAGTTCCTTAAATCATAAGCGCGCAATATTTAAGAATCTTTTGTTACTTATTGTCTATTAAGTAGGCTAACCTTTATCTGATGTGATAAAAATAAATTAGCCAATTTCTTTCTGGTTTCTTCTCACTAGTGGTTATAAGTAAGGATGGACATTTTGGTTCAGGTTTTTACCTCAATAAATCCCCCCCCCCAACATAAATTTTAAACAAGTGCTTTGGGCAAAAAAGTAAATTTTAACAAATATTCTAAAATGCTAAAATTTTTCCCAATCAAAAAAAAATAGTGAAAAAAGATTTTTCTAAATTGTTATGTATATAATAAAAAGGAATCTCATTTTTTAAAAAATATTTCACTAGGATATAGTTGTTCCTTTATCGAAACCCAGAGATAAAACCTGAAATTTAAATTATATATAACGTCTAATTTTTAATATATCTTTAAAAAAGTTTCATGGAGATTTATTACACATTTTTTATGTGCCTCCCAATTATTATTATTATTACATTGTGCAAATCGATATAACTGTTAAATTCGAAGTTTTAAATAAGAGAGAAATTCATTCCCATTCCCATTCCAAATTTAATTTAATAATTGAGGAGATCATTAATTGAGCATAGCAAATTAATTTATTAAAATATCTGTTTAATCAATAATCTTTATAAAATAAATAAAACAAAGAATCATAAAAGTAATAAAAAAACTAGTAAAAATATCAGACCTGCAGAAGTACCATTTGCACGGCCCGGCTCGGATTTTTAAAATATATTACACTTATTCTTAATTTTTATTGCTAATGGCGATTTAAAATATTCGGTTCTAAAATATACGGCCCGGCCCGGGTATTTTTTAAAAGAAATTTTAGGCCCGGGTATTTTTTTTTTAAAAAAATTTGGGCCCGGCCCGAGTATATTTATAAAAATTAAAATACGGCCTGAAGATCTCTGAAAAATAAAAAGTAAAAATGATAAAACTTTTCTTCTTCTTTTAAATACTCACTTAAACACTAAAATTTAAATACTATCAATAATAATTTCATATAATTGTCATTTAATATGTTTACAAATTAAACATTTCATAACCTTTGTAATATTGAAATTCAATTTAATTATTTTCAAACTTTTCTTATTTTTTAATCCACGTCTTTAACAACAACTTTCTGATATAATAGTAACTCTAATTCAAGATTTTGACATCTCCTTTGTCTTCCCGACGTATTTCAATAAATAAAAATAACTGCAAAGTTATAATTAATCAAAAAAAAATATATTCTACTGGATATGATAAATTTGTAATTGTCTATGACGAGAGAATTAGGAAAATGATGGATAGTTTTTGATAATTTCACATATTTCGTTAATATAAACTGTTTTTCTATGTGATTCAAAATACGTGGTTGTTTGGTTCAACTTGAATGAAAGTATTTTTAGGAAAAATAACACTAAACGCTTCTATTCAATTTGTAAGCAATTTCACTCATTTTTTTAAAAAAAATGGAATTATAAAATGTTCTAGATTAAAAAAATTAAGATGTTCCAATATCGGAAGCCGAGTAAAAACGGCTTAAATGTTAAGTATGAAATCCTCCGTAATAGAATATACATCTATTTGAACTCCGTGTTCGGTGAATTACGCATTTCGTGAGATTAAGTGAAGGTAGTTCCATTGAAATTAAATTATTTCCATAGTATTATTCAAAACGTCAACTAAATTTAATTAATTAACGATTGAATTTTTGGAATTATTATCTATTTCTTTATTATCTTTTATCTTACCATTTTTTTGTAAGTCGTCGACATTTAAATATTTTTTGGTCAAGGCATCTGTAAAGTTTACCTTTGAGGCATCTTTATCGGTGGAACAAATAATTTTTAAAAGCCAAGATCTCCTAATTTTTGTTTAATAAAACAGTTTATAAGACTCCGAAACAAAGTCAAAAGATGGCAAACTATTTATATATTTATGACATAGGGAATGACACCAGCCAGACATATAAAAATATTTTTAAAAGAATTTTGGGAATTAAATCAAAAATGTCAATTTTTAAATAATACTAAATTAATTATTTATTTATCTTTACTATTTTGATATTTTAAATATAAAGCTTTAATAAGGCCCATATCAAAATATTATATTATAACCCCATACCCATATAGCTCAGTTTTAGAGATCTAGAGCTATTTTTAACATTTATTTACTAAATCTTATTTATTGCCCATGTTTAAGATATTAAAAAAGGTTGTAACCCCTCCCCCTTCTTCCATGCTGATATATGTTTTTAAAAATTTGATTAGCAATGTGGCGGTGATTAACAAAACAGTCGAAAGATATTTTTATTTTGATATTCATGTCAAGAGATATTATGTTATAATTTTTATCTATAATTTTTATCCCCCTAAAAACATAAAGATGAGTAACAATGTAAACACATCCTTACTAGCTTCATTTGATACTCATATGGAAATATTATGAAAATTTTTATTTATCAAAATCATCTTTTGAGAATTCAGTAAAAATTACTTTTAATTTAATTCTGGAAAAAAAATAATAAATGTACTAACCTACATATATTGTAATTAAACATTATATACTGTCTTAAGCTTCAGAATTAGTGTTTGCCAAAGTTTGGTAAACTTCGTGCTTAAGGCTGCTTCTTAACAATAGATTCATATTCCTATCAAATTTTTTGAAAATATAACTAATATTTTAACTAAGTAAAAAGAAAAGATAAAAAATATCTATAAAGATTGTAAAATCATAAGATTCAAAAATGTTTTGAATTAGGGAAATTCCTCATTAAACTTAGATGTAATTTATTTTTAAATCGCTATTCAAAATTCAATAAAGACAGTTTAATGAGTAATGTTCTAGTTTTTATTTAGCCTACTCTATTTTTTGTTAGTGACTGGCAAAACTAACTAATGAATTTATAAATATTAAGTAGTCATCAGACAGAAACTCAGAATTTCGCCAGTAAAGATCAAGATTTACTAATGAACTCATGATTAATATAATAATAAAGCCTGAGTTCCTTGTGCACAATTCTTATAAAATTAGACTTCAAAGAAAAGTATTGGACAGGGTTGCAAAAAAATTATATTCTAATGATAAATTTTATAAATCAAATCTAAATTCATTAATCATATATAAATTTATTAAGGTTAAAAGAAAATTAAAAACTTTATTTGAATCAATCGTGCACCTATTTATTTTAAAATATTATTCAATTCATATGATTATAAAAATAAATGTTTTAAAATAAATTAGTCATATTAGATTATCGCAATTGCTATGATATGATATCTTCAATGACTTCGCTCTAAAATTTTTGCGATTATTGATTTGTGATAAAAGTTTGTTGTTATATTCATTTTAAGGTTTCTTGATAAGGGTATCGTTATAAAAAAATTGTGATATTGTCATTTGTGAGAACTTATGATCAGACTCAAAGATAAAATAAAAATTTGAGACAGGAAAAATATACTAAAAATTTAGATAAAAAATTTTAAGCCAGGCTGATAAAAAAATTCAGAGCTCTAGTAGGCAATAAAAATATAAATGGGCCAGGTTTATTTTTTAAACAATGTATGGGCAAGCTTGTGGGATAAATAAAACCTGCCTATTGCAGACCTCACATCTTACATTTCAATAAATATTGATATCACTAAATTGTCAACATTTCTAGCAATAGATATCATATGAAAGAAATTAACCATGCCAAATTAACAAGTTTTGCAGTAAGTTTTATTTTAATTAATTATTATTATAATCACAATAAATTTTATTAGATATATAATTTAGCTTTTTAATTTTCATTAAATATATTTATTTCAATTTGAGGTTTTAACAAAATTTCAAAAAATAATAAATAATTATTTATAAATGTACCATATTCCAATATCAGGAATAGCTGGTCCCCAATCCCAACTAAAACTACATTGTTCTTTTCTAAGAAGATTAACATGGCATTCACCATTTTGATTAGGTGGAGGACATAGGGGTGGAATTGGTGTATTATTGTATTTATTTAGTGCTAGATTTTTACCTTGTATGACTGAAGAATTAAAATGAAGAGTTAAGTTAAATTCAACCATGCCATCCATAAATTCTTGCTATATATATTTATTAAATAATTGAGATAATTCAATTACTATCTTGGTGCTTATATCAAAATAATGTGTAAAGAACATATTATTAGATTCTCCAATGAACACATCATTTATATAAAAATTTGCAAAAGTATCAATGCCTTCGGCCTTTAATGCAGCATATTTATAATCATTGTTACCTTTTTTTATTTTTTAAAAATTATAAGCATAAAATTATTATACCCTTGATTATTTTAGCAAAATACCAATCCCTATGGGAATAATTTCTATATTTCATATCATTAAAATCATGTAATGGATCATCTAAGATATTATTTGTCCAAATGTTTGAATATAAACTTCCAGGAATTATTGCATTAATGGTAGTAATATATTGAGGATCATATAATTTCCATTTTCCTGCTAGATTGTCATAGGTGACAGTCAAGATTGAATCAAGCGAAATGATAAAAATTAAAAAAAAGTGGTTCATTTTTTAAAAATATATATCATCTGTGCTTCAATGACAAATATTCCTCAAAGAAAGGGAATAAAATATTTTATAATCTATAATTATTATGTTTGAAAAATAACAGTTATTATTTAAGTATATTAATGTATTGCTTTATTATATATATAGGCGGTTTTATTCCTTTATTAGAATATTTCGTATAGTTTATAAAATAAAATATAAGACGTTAATTTGTAAAAAAAAATAATAAATATTGAAAATAAAAAATAGTTATAAAAAAAATTAATTCAAAAAAAATGAATTCAAAAAAAAATGAATTCAAAAAAAATGAATTGATTAATTACAATTTTCGCTTCCCTTTTATAGGGAAGCAATAATCATCACAAATAAATAATTAAATCCCATCATCATAATGACTTCACAATAATTCACTTTTATAAATCTAAAAATAAAATGTTAACGCGATTAAACTAAAACATAAAATTATAAAAATAACAATGACTCACCAATTTAACTAAAACATAAAATTATAAAAATAAAAATGACTCATCAAACGCAATACATACTGACTTTACCAAAAATCAAATTTCACAAATCAGTCTCCCAATAATGACACCTCCCCCCTTTAACCAATCCTTGAGACCCCAATCTCTTTGATCACCCCTAGGAATTCTTCTGTTATTGTTGTAAGTGGACACCTTTGACCATCGATTATTCGAACATATGTCCATAATTATTATTCCTCCATCGTCTTCTTCTAAGAGTAACTACAACCTTAAAATCCTTTTAATTTATTTCATTACTAAAAAAAAATTTCGGACTCCCACTTTTGCACACACGCTGAAAAGACTCCATCACTCCAATAAGCTGCAAATATTCATCCACCTCTAACCTTAGATTGTTCTGCTCTAGAGTACCCCCTGTTATTTTTACATCATGGTATAATAAAACACTCCCTCCAATCCCTGAAAAACTACCGCTCTCGTCCGTTGAAACATAGGTGCCGATACGCTCAACCCAAACAGCAACCTTCTAAAAGCAAAGCCCCTTTGGCGTTGTTATGGTCAACAACCTCTGCCTCTCCTTTTTTACCCGTAATTGCAAATACGCGTTCGAAAAATCCACTTTCTAAAAATATCTGCTTCCTTTTAAACTGGCCAATATCTCCTCTATCCTGGGTAACGGATACTTCACCTCCACCACACATGGATTCAACGTTACCCGGAAATTGCATACAACCTCACACTCACATTGGCCTTCTTTACGAGTACCAAAGGCGTCGCCCATTCGCTGTATTCAACCGGATTCACGATACCCTCCTTTACCCAACGATCCAACTCCTTCCCTACCTCCTGCCATCATTCAAAAGGTACTCTACGAACAGCACAAAATTTTGGTATGCATCCATCCTTCATCCGAATCTCCACTTCATAATCCTTTAGACAACCCAACTCCTCCCCAAAGATTTCTCCATACCTCTCCACTAACTTCTCCACCTCCTTTTGGACATCTTTTACTCCCACAAATTTTCCACAACTCCCTGTTCTACAAAATTCTCACTCCTCTCACTAACCAGCGGCCTCAATACTCCATATCTACTGTCTTGGATATTTGCTATTTCTCCATCTACATAAATCGGACCTCTCCCCAACATATATTCCCTCCCATTTCCTTCACTTTCCTCCCAAAACACGGATCTTCCCTCGTCTACTTCAATATTATCTCGGCCCTCCATCCATTCCAAATTTCCTCCGAACATTCTCTCCTCCTCCTCCTCTCGGACCATATTTATCAAGTCTTCCCGAATATCTTCTTCGATCGCCACAAATACTCCCCAAAATCCATACTCCGGCCCCACACTTGTAATCCCATCCCATCACCGGCTCAACGTCTCGGTTAATTATCCATAAGTCCAACATTTTACATCCTTCTCTCCCTACATCCCCAATATGCACTCTTCCCATCATCTCCATCTCCGATCCATCAAACTGCCTCACTTGCATAACGTCTCTAATTATTTTACTTTCGGCCAAAGTCTTCTAAAATCCTCATATCCTATCAGCGAAATAGCTGCTACGGTATCAAATAACATAGATACCATCTTTCCGTTGATATCGAACCATACCCTCGGACTCGGCAGATACGATAACTCCCTTTGAACCTCCTGCTGCAACATTTTAACTATCAACTCTTTCTTGCCTCCTCTTAACCCCACCATCATCATTTTACTCTCCTTCCCATCATATAGTCAATATCACAATCTCTGGCCCAATGTCCCTTTTCTCGGCACTTGAAACATGTCATCTCCTCTTCAATATCCTTTCCTCCTTTCCCAGCTATCTCCGTCATACTCCTCATATTCACGGCCCCCGAAGTCTCTCCTCTCTATGGAAAACCTGCCCTTGTTTCTACCTTTCCCACTCGGCAATCTTTTAACACATGTCCAAATCTTCCACAACCCGCGCAACGTATTCTCTCTGCTCTGCCCGTACAATATGTCGAAATATGTCCCATCTCCCCACACGCAAAACATTTGACATCTCTACAATTCACCGCAATATGACCCATCTCCCCACATTTATAACATCTGACCCTCTGTCCCCCACTGCTGAACGGCCTTGGCATGTCCTGACGTCCATGGTAAACGTCCAAATGTCTGTCATTATACTCTCGTTCTTTAACCGGTCAATTTTTCATTATTGACCCAACCCTTCATTATTTCTTGAACCGGTAACCACGTCACTCTCCCCAATCTATCATCCTCTCCATTATGCCCTTCTACCAAAAACGATTTCCCACGAATCCTAATACTCCTCTCTCTTCGCATTCTCCTTCCAAAATATAAACTACACAACCATATCACCAACACTACCACCGCTCCCAGTACATTATATTGCAACTCCACATATTTCCGCGAATTTTTAAACTCTTCCGTGTATCCACGTCTTTTGAAAAAAATCGGCAGCACTTCCGTGTATTGACGTCTTTTGAAAAAAATCGGCAGCACTTCCGTGTATTGACGTCTTTTGAAAAAAAAATCGGCAGCCCTTCCTTGTAACTTGCCTTCTAATAAACTTTTTCGGATTTTCTTCTAATAGATTTATATAGGCAAAAATTTGGACAGCACTTCCGTGTACTCTACCTTTTTAGTATCACTATGCCACAAAGATTCTTTTATAATCACTGAGCCATCTTTTTTTTATACCACAAATCCGATTCTTTTATATACCACTGAGCCCCCTTTTTTTATACCACTAATCCACAAAGACCACTAAGCCACAAAGACCACTAATCCACAAAGACCACTAAGCCACAAAGACCACTAAGCCACAAAGACCACTAAGCCACAAAGACCACTAAGCCACAAAGACCACTAAGCCACAAAGACCACTAAGCCACAAAGACCACTAAGCCACAAAGACCACTAAGCCACAAAGACCACTAAGCCACAAAGACCACTAAGCCACAAAGACCACTAAGCCACAAAGACCACTAAGCCACAAAGACCACTAAGCCACAAAGACCACTATGCCACAAAGACCACTAAGCCACAAAGAGCACTAAGCCACAAAGATAATTAAGCCACAACAACCACTAAGCCACAAAGATAATTAAGCCACAAAGATCACTAAGCCACAAAGACCACTAAGCCACCAAGATAATTAAGCCACAAAGATCACTAAGCCACAAAGATTTTATATACCACTAAGCTTTTTTTTTATTTATCACTATTCCACACAAATTTTTTTTTTATTTCTTTTTACAGTTTCCCCCCTTTTTTTTTAGTGTCCCTAACGACCAGGTTCTAACGATAAGTTCGCTCTGGTCACGGTAACCATTATTATTTAATTATTTTAATGTATTGCTTTCTTATATATATATAGGCGGTTTTATACTTCCTTTATTAGAAAAAAAATAATAAATATTGAAAATAAAAAATAGTTATAAAAAAAATTAATTCAAAAAAAAATGAATTGATTATTTACAATTTTCGCTTCCCTTTTATAGGGAAGCCATCACAAATAAATAATTAAATCCCATCATCATAATGACTTTACAATAATTCACTTTTATAAATCTAAAAATAAAATGTTAACGCGATTAAACTAAAACATAAAATTATAAAAATAACAATGACTCACCAATTTAACTAAAACATAAAATTATAAAAATAAAAATGACTCATCAAACGCAATACATACTGACTTTACCAAAAATCAAATTTCATAAATCAGTCTCCCAATTATGACAACAGTTATTTTTAGAATTTTTTTAGATTAATAATTAAAGGAATCATTTTTAAAAACTATTTAATTTATCATCCAAAATTTTTGATAAACTTCGAAAATTAATAGAATTTACTTTATTTTATTTTGCCCTGTCGAAAAAAATATGAACTATGGGGTATAAAATAATAACTATTTAGAGCCTTTATGCCCATAGAATAAAAATACATTTATGAATAAAGAAAGAAAGAAAGTGTTAAATAAGATAAAATTAGTTATATATTATTAACTGCTTTTATTTTTTTTATTATTCATCATTTATTTTATTTTTGTATTCAAAAAATATTAAACATTTTATTTTTATTATATATTACTTATACGAAATATTTCATCATCTTAGAAATATATTTATGATATAAAACCCGAAATAGTAAAAGAATTTACGATAATAAATTGCTATGTCCGAAAATGTTGCCAATTCTTCTTTTGTTTTAGGTTCTGGGCATGTTTGTGATAACTTTTATTTTATCCCCATTAGAATGCATACCTTTTGTAACAGTGTTATTTGCCAAAAAAACTAATTTTCAAATTTGAAATATATACTTTTGGCGAAATTAGGTATAAACCATACATTGCTCTCGAAAACTTCCAATGTTATTTAGCTTCATCATTTATTTTACTTTATATTATTCAAAAGATATTAAAAAATTTAATTTTTATTAAATATTACTTGCAATATTTTATCATCCTTCAAAAGTGTTTATCTTATTTTACTTGAAAACTTATATTTTGTTTTACGTTAATATAATTTATATTTT